TTCATTCTTTTACGTGTAGCTGTCCAGTTTTCCAGCACCATTTGTTGAAGAGTCTATCTTTTCCCCATTGGATATTCTTGCCTCCTTTGTCATAGATTAGTTGACCATATAATCTTGGGTATATTTCTGGGCTCTTTATTCTGTTCCATTGAATGATGTGTCTGTGCCGGTACCAACTGTCTTAATTACTACAGCTTTGTAGTACATCTTGAAGACTGGGATTGTGATACCTCCAGTTTTGTTCTTCCTTTTAAGATTATTCTGGCTATTTGAGATCTTTTGTGATTCCATGCAAGTCTTGGGTTTTAGGATTTTTTGTTCTAGTTCTGTGAAAAATACTGTTGGTATTTTTATAGGAACAAATAGCGATATTTGTTCTCCCAATCCATGAGCATGGAATGGTTTTCTGTTTCTTGGTGTCGTCTTTAATATCTTTCACCAATGTTTTATAGTTTTCAGAGTACAGGTCTTTCATCTCCTTGGTTAAGTTTATTACTAGGTATTTTATTCTTTTTGGTGCTATTGTAAATGGGATCATTTTCTTAATTTCTCTTTTTGCTACTTATTTTTTTTTTTTTTAAGAATTTTATTTATTTATTTGACAGAGACAGACAAAGCGAGAGAAGGAACACAGCAGGGGGAGTGGGAGAGGGAGAAGCAGGGAGAGCGGGAGAGGGAGAGCAGGCTTCCCGCCGAGCAGGGAGCCGGATGCAGGGCTCGATCCCAAGACCCTGGGATCATGACCTGAGCCGAAGGCAGACGCTTAACGACTGAGCCACCCAGGCGCCCCTCTTTTTGCTACTTATTATTAGTGTATAGAAATACAACAGATTTCTGTATATTGATTTTGTGTCCTGTGACCTTACTGAATTCATTTATCAGTTCTAGTAGTTTTTTGGTGGAAGCTTTAGGGTTTTCTATATATAGTATCATGCACACTGACCTCCTTTTAATTTTTCAAATAGGCTAGGCACATTCCCTCCTGGGGCCTTAGCACATGCTATTCTCTCTGCCCAGAATGCTCTTCTCAAGAAATGCACAGGGTTTGTTTCCTCACCTACTTTAGGACTTTGTTTAGGTACCACCTCTCAGGGGTATCTTCCCTGACTGTTTAAAGAGACTGCAATCCCCCCTCTCTGCCCCCAGACTCCCTCTCCCACTTTCCTGATTTTTCTCCATAACAGATACACCTGCTGACACGATATGCATATTACTTATTTATTTGTGTTGTCTATCTCCACTCACTCAAATGTAAGCTTCACAAGGGCAGGGATTTTTGTCTCTTTTGTTCACTGTTCTATTCCCGCTGCCCGGCATATAGATAATAAATATTTATTAATGAAAAATAACAAATTTCCTTATCCTTATGTTCTTACTCTTCCACTTGATTCTTCATTTTTGTCATTACATTTTTAACTTCCAAGAGCTGTTTTTTCCCCTCAGAATATTTTTTAAAAGCAACATTTTTTGCTGTTGTTCTTATGTCATGATTGCACCGTCTTATCTTTCTGAGGGTATTTGGTTGTGCGTTTGTTTTTTGCACAGTCTCCTCCAAAGTGCTTCATGGGTTTGCGCATTTGATTATTATATCTTAGAGACTTTCCTTGGATGTCTGATAATCTCTTTAACATTTTAAAATTAACCTTAAGGCGTACAATTTATTTACAATCAAGTTAACATATTTAATATTCCAGGTAATGGCTTTTGACATGTGTATAAACCCACATAACCAGCATCCCAATCAATATATAGAATATTAGCATCACTCCAGAAAGCTCTCTGTGTCTCTTTGCAGCCAATCCCCACCTGACACATCCCAAGCAACCATTGTTCAACTTTCCGTCACTGAACTCGGTTTTGCTCATTCTATAAATTTATATAAATCGAATCATATAGTGTGCAGTTTTTTGTGTCTGGCTTTAACATAATGAGATTCATCCACATTTTTGCATATATCAATGGTTCCTTTCTGCTCTATATGCCATCGTTTGTTTATCAATTCACCTATTGGTAAATATATGGGTTGTTACTAATTTAGCTTTATTGAGCTGTCTGCTGTGAAAATACAAGTCTGTATGGACAACAGCCTGGATGAAGGTGAGGCAAGCCAAGAAGCCGAGGTCACAAAATTTAAGGAGGCACTCACTCTTGGGTTCATGTAAGTGCCAACCCTGCACTTGCAGAACCCTGAAAGTGAGTGCCTCATTAAATTTCCCACTTGAAGCATTTTGCTTGCCTCACCCTAGTCCATGGCCCTGGTGTGGACAAACATCTTGATTTTTCCTGGGTGAATACCTAGGAGTGGAATTGCTGGATCACAGGAGAGTTATGTGTTTAACTTCATAAAAAAAGAAAACTGTCAAACAGTCTTCCAAAGTGGTTGCATCATTGTACACTCCCACCAGCAGCTGATGAGACTTCCAGTTGCTTTACATCCTCACCAGCAAGTGTATTTCCAGTCTTTTATGTTCTGGTGCCACAGAACAATTACTTCTTGTAAATATGGCTCATCCCTGTGATTCTTGTCATCCTCATCTTCTTGGCTTCCCTAATCCAAACCAGATTCAGGAGAGCTTTTGCTGAACTGTTTCCATGTGCATTGTTGTAAACAAAAAAATACAGCCATGCAGCTCTAAGTGAGCTCTTTGTCTTCAGGAAGAGTGTTTTCACTGGAACGTTTCTGAGATCTGCCCCCACTGGGTCCCTTTACTTCTCTTTGAGTTTCTTTTCCATTCTCCTTCATAGCTTCTATCTGATCTCAGCTGCTTTTTTGAGCCCTTACACGTGTTTTGGTACCTGTGGATTCTATCTTCTACCTTTGCTGAAAATAGAGTTTTCAAAGTTTTTCCTTTTTGCTTTTGCATAGTTTTCTAAGAGTAAAAGAGTCAAAGTGCTTATTTATGTATCCATATTGAATAGAAAATCTTTATTTGTATTTCTGAGTAAACTGTGGAAGCAGAGGTGGAGATTTGTATAGTTGGAAGGAGATAAAATTGTGTTAATTTCTAATTAGGACTGCATAATGATAAGGTTGATAGAATCTAAACAGTATCTGAAAATGATGCAACCTTTTTTCAAGGGTATCTCCAGTAAGAGTGTGGTGACCAGGTATAAGAAAAAATCCTTATTATAGTCAATGCACCCCAGGAGCAAATTGGGGAAGGCAAATTCCCACTTGCATCAGTAATTCCAACAGGGAGTTCTGTGGTTCTCATAAGATTTGGCTTTCTTTACTAAGATTTTAGAAAGAGCCATAGAATCAATGAAATTCAAGGCCTGGAGGTGATATGTGCTCAGAAGCATTCCAAGCACAGTTCCTGGCACTTAGCAATGAACTGGTGGGTTCTTCCAGGGATGGGATGAGCTCACTGCCCTTCCTATTTTATTTTATTTATTTTATTTTTTAAAGATTTTATTCATTTTTTTGACAGAGACGCAGAGAGAGAGGGAACACAAGCAGGGGGAGTGGGAGAGGGAGAAGCAGGCTTCCCGCGGAGCCTGGAGCCCAATGTGGGGCTCGATCCCAGGACCCTGGGATCATGACCTGAGCCAAAGGCAGACGCTTAACGACTGAGCCACCCAGGCGCCCCTGCCCTTCCTATTTTAAACTGAGCATGAACCTGCGTTCTTTTCTCTTTCCTTGGTGAAATGAACCAACTGGGGTATATTTTTAAAAACATATGCATAGGTTATAGAACATATAAAGATTTTAAATGTATGTATATAAAGTAATGTATGTTTATAAAATAATTTAGACTGTATGGACAGTGAAGAGTAAAAGTCTTAAGCAAAACAGTAAGTACTGTTATTCATAATTCTAGATTTTAACACCACAAATCTCTGTATGTCTCTATATACAAACATTTCTATAAATACATAATATAGGGTATGGAGAGTAATACTCATATGCTGGTAACTGTAATTCTTTGGAGAAGAGAGTGAATTTGGGAGAAGGGAATTTTTCACTATTTATATACTTACATATTGTCTAACATCTCTAATACTAAGAATATATTAATGTATTATATAATTTTTATTATCTTAACAGCTTTATGGAGGTATAGTCGACATACAATAAACTAACGCATATTTTAAAATTTTTATTTATTTATTTAAACTGCATGTATTGAATGTGTATAATTTGATAACTTAAAATCTATATTCACTTGTGAAACCATCACCACAATCAAGGCAGTGAAAATATTTGTCACTTGGAAAGTTTCCTTATGACCTTTCATAATCTCTCCTCTCCTGACCTCCCCACCCACTCCCAGGCCACCACTGATATGTTTTCTGTCACTGAAGATTATTTAACATCTTCTAGAATATGAAATTAAATGGAATATGTTTTCTGACTTCTTTTACTCAGCATAATTATTTTAAGATTTATCCATTTTGTAGCTGTATCAGTAGTTTATTCTTTTTGGGGGGTGAGCCATTACATCATTTTTATTTTATTTATTTATTTTTTAGTTACATAATTTTTCAAGGGAAAATTCAGGGAGAAGGAAGCAAGAGAAGGCTAGATAACACATACGCCTCAAACATACTGAAATGTTGCCATCCATTTTAAAGTGTTACTTAAATTTTTAAATGCATTAAAAAGATAATGTTGCCTTACCTCACACAGTCCCATTTCCAGGAGCAACCACAAATGAGTTCGTGCAAGCTTCGAAAAACCTGACTAGGTGATTTTTTAAAGATGTATGTTTTTAAATTATAAAAGCAACATATGCTCCCCGCGACGTGTTAAGGAAAACACGACGTGTGTAGATAGGAGCCCAGGGCTCGAGGGACAGAGCTAAAGGGACTCGCCGGCCGCGCTCAGTTGTCCCAGGCCCCAGGTCCCAGGTCCCCGGAGCAGGGCCCTGCCTTGCAGTGGCAGCAACAGGTCGCCAGGTGGTGCTGTGGCGCCGGGCTCCGGAGCTTCGTGACAGGAGGGGAGCTGCCGCGCGCGCGGGGACACGTGACCCGGTCTCTGGCTGGGGCGACGGGGTCACGTGACGGGGCCCGGAAGCCGCGGGCCCCGGCCGCTAAGGGGGATGGCTGGGGCTCCGCGCTGAGGCGAGGATCGGTGGGCTGCGCTGCCGCGGGAGCCACAGCCGGGGCGGAGCCCAAGCCGGAGCTCGAGCGGTGAGTCCTCGCGCTGACGGGCCGGGGCTGGCGGCGAGTCACCGCCTCAGGCAGGACCCACGTCGCCTTTCTGTGGGGCGCAGCGGATGCTCCGGGGCAGGCACTGACCGGCTCGGGGTGCGGGTCCGAGCCTCCTCGGCTTCCCCGCCTCAGCCGCGGTAAGATGCGGACCCCCCTCCGGGGATGAGGCGAACTGGAGTCACTGTCTCCCTTGAGCTCTCCTCGCCGTTTGACAGGTGGGGAAACTGAGGTACCGAGATGGGAAAGGTCACCCAGACGACCAGCCAGGCTTCTTCCACGCTTCCCAAAGGGGCCCAGTCGTCTCGGGCAAGTCACCCGCCCTCTGGGGAGCCCTGCTGGGGACTTGCGAATAGTGGGTCTTTGGGTCATAGAACACCAGAACTGGGACCCTTCCCGGGAAATCACCTGGTGCAACCCCCTTCTAGGACAGTTGGGGAAATCGAGGCTCGGGGCTTGCCTAAGGTCACCCAGTGAGTTAGTGGCAGCCGGGCGACTAGAATCCAAGTCTCCCCAAGCTCCAGCAGCTGTTTGCTTTTCAGCACACTGCCTCCTGCGGACAACTTGACATGTGAAAAGGCACCCTTTTCCCGTCCTCTCCTCTTCTGGCGCTTCCTCTTTTAGCTCTGCTTTCTCCATCTCCCAGATTGGCTCGGCTCTGGGTGTGGTTCTCTGTTCCAATGTTCACGATTTTTTCTGCAGCCTCATCACTCTGTAGGTTTTGCTTCTAACGCCCTGCTATTTTGTGTAAATGGTGCTGAAATATGCAATAAGAATTGGATTATGCTCCTGGGAGGGTAGGTGGCTCCCAGCAGGAGTTGTGGAGAGCCCTGGCATTGACCTGAAGAATGTAAAGACCTGGGCTTTATTTATTTATTTTTAAAAGATTATTTATTTATTTATTTGACAGAGAGAGACACAGCAAGAGAGGGAACACAAGCAGGGGGAGTGGGAGAGGGAGAAGCAGGCTTCCCGCTGAGCGGGGAGCCCGACGCGGGGCTCGATCCCAGGACCCTGGGATCATGACCTGAGCCGAAGTGAAGGCAGACGCCCAACGACTGAGCCACCCAGGCGCCCCAAGCCCTGGGCTTTAGTTTTTCTGTAGCTTGCTTGTCTCATTTGGGGAATATTGGTTATTTGGATGCAGTCATTTGAGGCTTGCTGAAATGAGATAGCGGCATGGTGTAATGGAAAGAACCGAGACTGGGGAACTGGGAGATTTTGTTCTAACTCTGACACTTGCTTTGCAACCTTGGGTGACTCCCATCCTCGAGTGGGTTTGGGTTTCCCAGCCTGTACAATGATGGAGTTGAATCCCTCAGGACCTCTCCTGCTCTGACATTCTGTGCCTCTAGCTCTGTCTTCTAATCCGAGTGGGCTTCCCCCCGTGTACATTACTGTCGCCTTTCGACAAGGGTTAATCCAGTTGTCCAGGAAGCAGTCTCCCTACTTCACTTATTTCTAGGTTACCATGAAATCCTCCTCCGTCTTATCACTGTATTAATTCCAATCTAAATGTTGACAGCTGAAAATGATTTTGACTGTCTTTAATTACTTTAACCACGATCAAGGCCCTCTTTGACTCTTGTTGAGAGCCTAGTCTACAGTAATTAACTTGTACATTTAGAGTATGTTTTCTTTAAAGATGTTTTTGTGGAGGAAGTAAAGGGGACACAAAAGACAGTCTTTTGCTCTGAGTTTGAGACTGTGGGGTGGAGGCTGTATGAAGAAGAGGCTGCTATTTTGCCGGTATTAAGTCTCTCTTCCTTTGTTTTCTGATTGTGCCATGCTGTTATAATGGCCTGCTGTTGATTTCTTATTTTCCCTTTAAACCATGTAGCTGTTCATTCAGCCCCATCTCTCTGGCAGCTTGAAGTTGCTCAGAGCTGTCTTTGTCTATTTTAAAGGCAGATTCCATTTCTTCTGCAGTATTCCTGAGACTACAACTAGGACCAATGGATGCAAGTGCCAAAGGGAAGTAGTTTTTGGGTGAGCGTAAGAACTTTCAAAGAATAAGAGCTCTTTCATGTTGCAGCACACAACCTGTCACTGGAGGTAATTGTCACTGGACAATTACATCTGGGAATGTTATAGGTTATGTTTATTGTGTTGGGTAAAGCTTTGGACTAGATAAAGTTTGAGGTTTTCTTCCAACTCAGGGTTCTCGTGAAATTCTAGGACTGGACTTGTTAGCATGTAGAATGTCAAGTAGAGTGGGTGTCCACTTTTGTGACTGCTTTATTTTTTCCCCTTGCCTCAGACAACTACTTTCTCTTGTGTGTGTGGTTTTTTTAATTCCTCCTCCCCTCCCCAGGGAGTGTTTGAATTCTTTAAATGCTTGCTATCTCTTCCAAGATCAGATGCTGAAGAGTCATTGTGCTGTTAATGATACATTTCTTCTTTCCACCTTGACCTGAAAGCAAGGTCCTAGAACTGGGCTGAGTGAATGGACTTTGGTTTCTACTTTGGCTGGCCTGGCTCTGATAACCCCTTCCAGAAGTGTGTGACTGACTGACCACTAACATCTAGCCTAGCTTTTCTCTTTGTTCCGCAGAGGAAACTCACACAGAGTCTTTTTACCTCAACCCAAACCTTGGAGGAATCCTGAGTCTCCCTCCTTCAGCTAGGCTTTACTGGGTCTAAGCACACAAAGCTAGCTCTGTTTTATGGGTGTGGGGTCCCATGGATGAGACATTCTAAATGTGCCAAAATAGAAACCTCATGATGTTGCATTTGGTGCCATCTCTTCTTTTCTCTCCCAAACATTTCTCTTGGAAGCCTTGACACCCAGGGCCAGTTCTCAATGACCCTCTATAGTACGAAATACTCTTCTGTGCTTCCCTATTCCGTGAAGTCAGGAATCTATCTGTGTTCCTGGGATGCTCATGGCACATAGACCACCATTTCCAAGATGAGGACCTGGCTCAGCTCTCCAGAGTGATAAAATGGAGAAGAACTGCAGAATTGCACACTTGCATAGTGAACTTTCTGACTTCCTGCTCTTGAACTTCTCTATAGTGATAATTGCATCTAGCTCTGAACTCATGTACTTTTTGTCATGCGGAATTCCCCCTGCACACCTAATCTTGCCCCTGTTTTGTTCCAAGGGAGATTGCAGGGAGGATCGATAATTTATGGTGTGATAGAAGCATGGACTGAGAATCTTGTATGTTGTATTCTAATCCCATGTCTTTAACAGCTGGGGCCTTGGTTTTCTCGCCTTTGATGAGAAGCTGGGGCTTTAGATCTTCTGTAAGTCATGCATGGTACTAACATTTTAGTGGGTTTTAGGATTGTGTGTAAAAAGTGAGCGTGTTTGTCTTGTCAGCACCTCCTGTGCAGAGCCTGCTGAGATCAGCAGCTGCTTTGCAGCTGCCCTCTCACCAGACTCTTTTAGGCAGGAGTCAAATTATGGAATGTACTTCTGTGGTAGGTTAAATGGATTTTTATCTGATGCCCTTTAAAAACAAATCATGTGGAAGTTAGAAATTTTCACTTTCCTCCTTGTAGACCACACATAGCAACACAGTCTGTGTCCTTGTTCATGACTTTGGAATTCCAGCGATAGACAAAAATGCATCTAGAGAATTTGCTGTTTCCTTGGGTTCCAAAGTCTAACCCAGTGTAATTGTTTCAGAATAATGGGTGGCACTTGCAGTCTGCAAATATCACCTATCCATGAACTCTGGTAGGAGATGAGGCCTGGGGTGTACCTATCATAATAAGATCATATGTATTTTTCTAGTGCCTATAAATCCACCTGTAATCAAGATCATTTAGGAAGATGGTTAAAAATAAAAATGCTTAGGTTGAATCAGATTGGGCCGAGAAATCTGTTTGGTTTTTTAAAGCAGTTTTATTGAGATATAATTCACATGGCATGGCATACAGTTCAACCATTTAAAATGTACAATTCAGTGGCTTTTAGTATACTCACAGAGATGTGCAACTATCACCACAATCAATTTTAGAACCTTTTCACCACCCCAAAAGAAACTATTCCTTAGGTGTCCCCTGCTAATTCCTTTTAACTCCGTACCCCAAGCCCTAGGCAACTACTACTCTGTTTCCTATGTCTAGCCAAAGACCTGCCTCTCTCTACTTTCCACCTACTGATCCTATTTCTGACTCATCTTCACCATCCCACAGGACAAGTCTTATCCATAGGACAGTTTTAAAAGCAGTTTTTATACCTGCCAAGTTGCCAGTTCTCCAGTTTGAACCTTCTCAGTGCCTCTAGTCATCCCTCCTCAGGCTGGTGCTGAGCCCTGGCTACACCACAGTTTATTATCCCCTTAATAGTATACTGACTGGAACAGAATATAATGCAGAGCAAAACAAACGGTGCTGTCATTCTACCTGTGGTTCTCATCCTCGTGCAACCTAGAATTAGCTGATTTGGTATCTGTTACTAAATCATTGACTTCTGTCGAGCTTATCATCAGCTAACATTCATAAATACTGTTATTTCTTTTCAACATGCATACAGTTGCCAAGCCACATTTGCTGGATCCTGCAGTTGTTTCTCAGACCTTGGATCTATAGATTTTAGCTTCTGTTTGAGCAGTTTCTTAGCAATATTCTGCTGGGGGTAACTTCAATTTTTATACACAACGTAAAGAAGCCTCTTTGCAGTATTTGAAATAAATTGAGTGCCTGGGCCAAGTAAGCAATAGAGTGGCTTCTTTGTTGTTGGGGAGGGGGAGGGGAATTTGTCAGTCCCTGTATCCTGTCCCTTCTCCCTCAGTAATATGCAGGATTCACCTGGAAGGCTCTATTCCTCAGACACTTTGCTATGTTGGAAAATACTAGAAATTAGCTGTTGTTTGCATAGATGATTACATTAGTTGATTCCTGGAATATTAGCACTAGAGAGATGCTGAGAGGTCTTTCAGTTTATTGCCCCTTACCCCTTGCTGCACATTTGGGGTAAATAGAATTATTCCCTGTTACTAAAGAAACTGGCGATAGAGTCAGCCTCAGAATCCAGGCCTTCTGACATACATAGATGCTGACCTATTAGCTTTGCTTGGATAGCAGCTTTCAACTGTTCGTATTAAGATACTTTATAGATATTTTCCCCCTAGCCGTCTTATGAGTTTAATTCCCCCAGAACTAGATGACTTCTTTGAATCCTTCCAGCATGCGAGTAAATGATGCCCTCTTAGATATTTAGCAAAGTCACTCTGCTAGTGAAGCTGGGCAGCATCCTCTCTGGGACTTCCAGAGCCTTTACTGGCTTTCTGCCAGGCACTTTCCCTGTGGGATTATGTGGGTCCACTCTTCATTATGGTTGGTGGGGGAAAATGAGATACCCTGGATCACTTAGGGGCCAGAGTAGGGCCAGTTTCCAAAGAATCCCCTGGGACTTGACCCATGGGAGCCTTCAGCACAGAGCTATCCTCTGGCAGCTAGTGTGGGGGGTTGGGCAGGATTGTGATGACCCACAGAGATCCTGTCTCCTCACCAGGTATTTGAGACAGCGCAGCAGATTTATGGTGGGCTTCAGCTGCATGCTGGGGGAGAGCCTGCTTATAGGCAGGCAGTTGTGCCCGTCTGCCAAGTGTCAGGAGGACTTTTTTGGTAATTTTTAAGATACATGTACTTTTCTTTCCTCACTTGATTGCAGATTCTTGGAGGGTAGGAAGTTGGCTCTCTCGCGTTACAATATTCCCTCATTGCAAGTGGCAGTGCCTTTAGTAGATGTTTCCAGGTTCAGGCAGGGCAGCAGGATCTATGTTTACTGCTTTGCTGCTACCTGCCTGTAGCAGAGCAGGTTCCTTCATCATTTTGGGGGTTGATTCTTTATTTGTAAAATGATCAGTTTCGAGTGACCTCTGAAGGCTCTTTTAGTAATAGTGTCTAGGATTCTGGGAGCTTACAGACCTCCCAAAATGTATCCTTATCGTGTGGCTCAGAGAAGTTGTTCTTCTCTTTTCTGTAGTAACATTACTGAGAAAGTCCACCCTGGAGACAATACCCTCACCATCCTTCCCCAGCACACAACAGAAAGGGTTTCTTCTTTCACCATCTTTACAAAGTTGGCAAATCCATAAAAATAAAAAAGAAGAGTCTGGAGGGGAAGGATTGAAATGAGGGCCAGTGGTGAGCCCTCTCATGCTCCTGCTCTTTGAGCTGCTTGCAATTCTGGCTTATTGCAAGATAAGAGTCCTGGGATCAGGGAAGAGGGTCACTGGTGACCTCTAAAGAGTACAGGATGGGCCAGAGGTCATGGTGGAGAGAGAGAGAGGAAGTCATCTGTTGGCTCTGGAACCTGGTGGGGAATCTGAGCAGAATTGGATGATTTGGAGGGGATTTTTTGAATGCAACAAGGTCCTTTTTCTAATGCATGCAGGAGAAAAGTAAGATGTGGTGAGGACTAGTCAGGTTCTCATCCTCTGAGAGCTTGACTCCTGGGGAAGATGGGCATAGATACAATATAACTGTTGTTCAGTGTTCAAAGAAATCAGCTCAAAGGAGGGGAGAGTTACTCCCAACCAAAGACACAGAGAAGGCTTCCTGGAAGCACCTGTCTGCATCTTCCCCCACTCATCCCACGCAGTGCCTCACCTTTGCTCTGTCCAGGTGTATGGTGGCAAATTCAGAAATTTATGAGTGGGATGTTGAGAAGGTTGGGAGACAGAAGCCAAGTGAGCTCAGCCCGCCCATGTGTACTTTGCACTTTTCCCAGTTCCCTTGGTATGAGCCACTGTCACTGTACTTAATTCATAGTGCAGCGGTCACTGAGCTGCTGTGACAATGGCTGCTTCTGCCCCAGAGCCCACCACAGGCTTGGAGCTAAAGGCCCCAGCTGCTGGAGGTCTTAGCAGTGACCCTGTCCCCCCAGCTACCATGTCCACGCAGAGACTTCGGAATGAGGACTACCACGACTACAGCTCCACGGATGTGAGCCCAGAGGAGAGCCCATCTGAAGGCCTAAACAACTTCTCGTCTCAGGGCTCCTACCAGCGGTTTGGGGAAAGTAACAGCACAACGTAAGTAGCTATTTCTTCTTCCCTCCTGGGTGTGACTCATGTTTTTACGTTCTGTATTAGTAACATAGTCTCCCTTAGAGGTATTTTTGCTCCCCTATTTTATCAATTCCCCGTTTTACAGATGGAAGGAAGATGTAAAGAGATTGGGTGAGTAACAGCTCTGAGATTTGAGTTCCTTGCTGGCCACTGTCCCTCCCATATGTTTTATATTCTTTGCTCCTTTCAGCTGTGTTGGTCCCGGAAGGCTGGTGCTGAACATAAGAGAAACTTCTAGAGAGAACATTCTCTTAATTCAGGACCATGGGTCATCTGTGCTAGAACCTCAAATACTTCTAGGCTCAATTGGAAGCTTCATTTGCAGAGTCTCGCCTAGACTTCTGTCCCCATCACCAAAAGGCCAGTTCATTTGGCTAAAGAAGTGGTAAGAGGGAGGAAGGAATAATTTCTCCTGCACTTAAAAAATTCGAGGTTGAGGGGCGCCTGCGTGGTTCAGTTGGTTAAGCATCAGACTCTTGATTTTGGCTCCAGGTCATGATCTCAGGGTTGTGAGATCGAGCCTAACATTGGGCTCCACACTGGGCGTGGAGCCTGCTTAAGATTCTCTCTCTCTACCTCTGCCCCTCCTCTCCCCACTCCCTCTTTCCTCCCTCCCCCCACCTAAAAAAATTCGAGGTTGAGAAGAAGAGGTCTGCCTAGCATTCTCTATGGAGGAGTAAGTCTTATCTCTAGAAACTGAATCCCATTCATGACTCATTTGGGTGGAGTTTGGCCCTCTCTGGGCCTTAGTTTCCCCAAATGTAAGAGAAAATTGAGGACCCCACTGTGAAGCTGTGCTGACTGCTAATCACCCACTTGAATTAGAAGATTCAGAGGGGGGTTTTCTACCCCATTGATTTCTCTGACTCAGTCCTGAATCTCAACAGACCCCTGATATTTTCTCTAGATCCCAGCATTCCATCTTTTTTGGCCTGTCTGTTTTTTCCCCAAGCTTAGCTATTATTCTTTCTGCGTTCCCTTGTGGGTTGGGTGTGACTTATCGAGGGATCCTTCATGTGCTAGACTTACGCTTTCCCATGTGACTGCCCAAGCCGACTATTGAAGCTTCTCTTGGAGATCATTACTGGTGAAGCTCCCTCTGGCTGCAGTCTCCCCTGGAGCAGGGCATTTTCTCTTGTGAACTGGGATAGAACTAGAGGATATGGTCTGTCCACATTAGCACTAGCTGATTTCTGCTCCTAAAGATTCAGTCTCTATAGCTTATTTCTCATGTGGCATGCTTTTATAGATTCCCCCATTTGCTTGCAGTGTTGGCTGATGGGAAAGATTGCATAGAAAACAACTGGCAGCAGTGAGGACCATCTTTCCCCTGTTTTCCTAACCTGTCCACTCAGTTCACTTCCCTCAGGCAGAAGGAGCTCCAGATGCAGCCAGTGGCATGTGATAGCTTCCCTTCAGAGGTGAAATACTTCTTCTGAGCTTCTGTCTCCATAGTTTCCTTCCAGTTTTTGCTCCTTCTTGTTCTCAGGCATCAGCTTGTCTGTGCAATGTTTGCCATATGGGGTCTAGATTTTCATTTTTAAAGGGACCTCTCTGAAGTTCAAAACCAACCACTAGCAACTTCAGGATGGTAGTTCACAGGTTTTGTATGTATTGAAAGTAATGTATGCTTGTTAGCTATTCTGATTACCTTTTTTTCACATTGGGTTATAACTAGTAGTCAACCTAAAATTATTTCTCCTTGCTTGTTAGAAATTGAGAAAATCAGGAGATACCTTCCTTGGGCTTGTATTGGCATATTTTCCAGGGTATGATTTGTTGTGAGGGCCCATCCTGCCCTGATATTGTGGTATATGGAACCAGGAAAACCCATCTGTAAATGAGATTAGGTATCGCAAGTGATCCAGGGAAAGTTCTCCCTTGGACTTGGAGGGTTGGTTGAGTACTTGCCTGGGGCTCGGATCCACGTAAGCATTTAGGTGTAGAAAATGTGCCAGGTGTGCTTAAGGTATAAGCTGATTCAGGTGACCGTGTTAGCTCTCGTGAATCTCTGATATGTCAGAGTGTTAGAGATAAGTTTTTGAGCTGGATTTCTTGTCTACTGTGCCTTGCTCCACCCTGTTACTAGTTTGCCAAGGAGCAAAGAACGCAGAACAAAGTACGAGGAACAAAATACAAGGAATAAAGTACATGCATGCACATAACTGGCTCTTCTAAGCGTTAGGGATTCAGTGAAAATCCCTAATCGGGGGTGCAGATAGGAAGCCCAGACACTTCCATAATGGTGTGTTTAGTGAGGTTATTTCCTAACACTTGATGTTGTCAAGCTATTGACTGCTTTGACAATAGCCTCATTTTATTCTATTGGGCAAGTTTTTCTTCTTGTTGCCCTATTGGGTCACATTATACCAGCTGTTGATCGAGCTTTGGTACTTTTTCCCAGGCTGGCAGGCTGAGAATCCAGTTGACCGAAACTGCTTTCTCTAGGTTATCTAGGGCAGCTGTTTGCAAAGTGTGGTCTTCAGACCCTTTGGGGTTTCTGAGACCATTTCAAGAAGTCTGTGAAATTGAAACTATTTTCATAATAATGCTAAGATGTTATTTGTCTTTTCACTGTGTTGACGTTTACACGGATAGTTCAGCAGCAGTGGTGGGTAAAATTGCTGATACATTAGTATAAATCAGGGCAGTGCCACCAACTTATGCTAGTCATTGTATTTTTTGCTGCCACACATGTACGAAGAATAAGCCAGTTTCACTTAAGCAGGTCCTTGATGAAGCAGTCAGATTACTTATTTTATTACTTAACCCTTCAGTACAGAGTTTTAAATAATCTGTGTGACCAAATGAGAAGTAGACATGAAATACTTCTACTGCCTACCAAATATGATACTTGCCTCAAGGACAAGACCTTGAGTGACTATTGGAATTGTGAACTGAACTAATTGCTTTTTTTATTTTTTGTAGAGCACTATTTTTGCTAGAAAGAACTAACAAACTGTAGGTTACTCAGACCTGAGTATTTGGCAGTACTGAGTACTTCATTTCTTAAAAATGAAAGGAATGAGACCATCACCTCAAGAAAAAACAATCAATGGTATTTGTTGCCCACAATAAAATTTGAGCTTTCAAGCAAAACTAGAAAAAAAACTAGTATCCAACCCTGAGCTTGACAGTTTCCCTCTATTTAAAGACTTCTGATAAGATTAGTGATATTAATAAATGGGATTTTTTCAGATATTGTATAATGAAATATGCCAGCATTTGGAAGATCTGCATAATTCAGGGAACTAGTATCTTCCAAATGGCCAGTGTGATACTAGAAAATTGTGCATGAGTAAAAGATCCATTTGAAGGGCAAGATCACCAGTAGGTTTTAATGTGATAGGATCTTGAAAAGTTCAGACTCCACATTATAACTAACTTCTAAGAAACAACCACGTGTCGAATTTCGGTGTAGTATCAAAGGAAAATTACCACAATTGTCTGAAGAGACTATTAAAACACATTCCAACTGCATGTCTGTATGAGGACAGATATTCTTTATGTACTTCAACCAAAATAACATACCACAACAGATTGAATGCAGAAGTAGATAATCCAGCTATCAAGCAAAACATTAAAGAGGTTTGCAGAAAAGGTAAATTAATGCCATTTTTTATTTTGGAAAATAGAACTACTTTTCATTAAAAATCTGTTATTTTAAAAAATAGTAACAATTTAAGGGGCACCTGGGTGGCTCAGTCAGTTAAGTGTCTGCCTTTGGCTTGGGTTGTGATCCCAGGGTCCTGGGATCAAGCCCCGTGTCAGACTCCCTGCTCAGCATTGAGCCTGCTTCTCCCTCTCCCTCTACCCTTCCCTCCCTTGTGCTCTTTCGCTTGCTGTCTCTTGCTCTCACGAATAAATGGATAAAAATCTTCAAAAAAAAAATAATAACAGTTTAAAAAATCTGTTATTTATATTTACATGTAATTTGTTATTTTAAGTAATTAATATTTTTTTAATTTCTCAACTTTCACTTGTAATATATATCACCAGACGTAATTCATATAAGCAAAAGCTATTTGGTAGCCTCAATAATTTATAAGTGTATAAAGGGCTCCCGAGAAAAAAAAGTGTAAAAACTACTGATTTAGAACATAAACAGAACTATAGAGATTTGCAAGGTTCCCTTCCTATATCCCCCATAGTTAAGACTTTGCAGTCCGTGGAGTTTATTTTTTGATACCCTGTGGTTTTGGGTGATCCAAGCTTGGAGCCATTGATTAAAAAGAATAATGTTAGCCAGTTGCCTAGAATCCTGGTGTTTTAGAGCTGAAGAGATGTTGGCAAGTATGTGTCCTATCCAGTCCCCTCATTCTACAGCTGAGACAAAGGTCCAGACAAGGGAGGGGAATTGTCATATGGAGTTAACTGGCAGAGCCAGGGCTAAAAGGGACATTATCTCCTATAAAACCCAGCTCAGAGACATTTTGGGGAGGCCTCTGGTAGGCAAGTGAGTTTTGCTACAATGCTTACTTTTGCCTGGAGTGGATTAAACATTTGCTAAAATAGACATTTGTTTGGCCCATCGCCCTGCCCATAATCTCTTGGTCACTTGGCTGCTGATAATGAAGGAGTCACCCCTATACCCTTGGTCCTTAAGCTGTTTCCCCAGGATAGTCCAGGAGAGTGCTCAGCCTCTTCTCATTTAGATTCAAAGACATTTTCTTGATCTTTCCTGAAAAGCTTTGGGACAGTAGGAAGGTCAAGAGGTTTTCTTCCTGGAGGTAGGAGAAAGGTTACCAAAAGTAAAATTCCATTTCAGAGAGTGTAGATAGGTCATATTTATTATGGTCTTTAGGAGTTAACACATCTTATTTGCTTTCAGTTTCTACTGAATTGCAGATGTGAAGAAATATATGGAAGCATCATTTAGGAGGGATTTAGGGTATTTGTGCAAAAGAATTTCCAGACAGTGCCAGGGGCCAAATCTTGAGTGAGTCTGTGACTGGGGGCAAAGTGATGCTGTATTTGACCTGTTTTGTATCCTAGAGGTAACAGGATAGAAAATGCAGCAGATGAGGGTACTTCTCTGCTGTCAGTCCTTTGAGGAGTTACCATTCTCTACAGATAGCTCACCGTCACCCCACCCAAGTGGCCACAAAACTGACACACTCCTCTATGTTGGTGCCCCGAGTCTCTCTCTGGGCTTGTGTTCCCAGGCCTTTCTTCCCCATGGGCACACTGGCAAGCTCTGCCTATCCTGCTGGGCTGGGCTCAGGTCTCCCCTCTGTGACCCCTCACCTGCTTCCCCTTCCCCCTCCCTGTTCCTGGGCACTTCTTAAGAAGACATCTTTCTGTCTGGATGGTTATTAATGTATCTGCCTTATTTTCATTGAGACATTATTAATTTCTAGAGACCGAGGTCCATATCTGATTCATACTTACTTCTACCACTGTATTAACACAATGTTTTACATATAACGGATAGTATTTGCTGAGTGAAAAAATGAATGAGGATGCATGAAAGGCTTTATAATTACAGCTTGAGGTGGACAGTCTGTATAACAGGTGAGGGGAAAATCTGTCCTCAAAGCAGAAGGATAAATTAGGTGACATTTGAAGAGGCCTTCTCCAATCCTAGGACTCTGGCATTTGACTTTTTTTATATTTTGTTTTATTTTATTATGTTATGTTCGTCACCATACAATACATCATTAGTTTTTGATGTGGTGATCCACGATCCATTGTTTTCATATAACACCCAGTGCTCCATGCAGTACATGCCCTCTTTAATACCCGTCACCGGACTTTTTTTAAACGCAAAGTACACCAGGGACTGGCTGATTGTGGTGCCGTATTCCTTTTGATCTGTTTACTTCGCATAAAAATTTCTGTTATGGGTTCTGGGCTTCTATTTTTTATTTCCCTCATCTTTCTCTCACACCAGTGTCTGTACTTCACACTTACGCTTGTCATCCTCTGTTGCAGTTTTGGATCTGAGTCTTTACAGTGGACAGCTCTGGTGAAATGTAGGCCAGAGCCATTAGGCAAGGATAAAGTGCCTACAGAGAGCCCCGGTGTCCCTCTGGTCTAATCTCCAAGAGAGCTGGGGTTCTTGGAGATGCCACAGGGAACAGAGCTTATAGCACAGAGGCCAGGAGAGGACTCGGGGGTCAGACTGCCTGGGTTTGAATCCTGACTAAACTCTTTACTAGGTGTGTGACCTTGAGCAAGTGTTTTCCTCATCCATAAAATAAATACATATCTCATAGGGTTGTTGTGGAAATTGAATGAGATAATGCATGAAAGCGCTTAGCACAGTGCGACATGATTAATAAATGTTAGCTATCATTATTGTTAACATGCCCTTGTCTACTTTCTTCACTTCAGATGGTTCCAGACTTTGATCCACCTGTTAAAAGGCAACATTGGCACAGGACTCCTGGGGCTGCCTCTGGCAGTGAGAAATGCTGGCATCTTGGTAAGGGTCTGCATTGGCAGAGGGAAGAATCATGACAAATTTTAGGAGATGGTGTGTGTTTTTTTTAAATCTATCTCATTTAAAACATTTAAAAATGGAGAGCTTTTTAATTCAGCTGAAGAAAGAGCAAAATTCAAGTGTTCATTCACTTAAACATATTTATTGAGGGCCTTCTGTGTGTTAGATGTTGTTCTAGGCTCTGAATATTATTGGTGAATAAAGAAGAGATTCTTGCCCTCATGGCGCTTACTCTGTGGTGAGGAGGATGTACTTAAAATGTCTCAGAGTTTCTATCAATAATATTAACTAATGAATTAGTAACAGAAGTTTGTTAGTTTTCTACATAGTCCTTCCACACCCCACCCCTAGGAGGCCAACTCTGAGAATTTTACTTTTTCTTTTATGATTCATCCCCTATAGGCTATAATCTAAAGCCATTTGGTTTCTCTAGAGCTGGAGATAGCTCAGAGATGTGGATGGCCCTTAGTTAAGGGCCGTTTTTCCTGATCTGGCATTGCTCTAATGAGAACTTTCCCCTTCCCTCCACCCCTTCACCTGTCTCTTCTTCCCAGACCACAGGAACCTTCTGTTTGGCTGATTTATAGCTGTTTTAGAACAGCCTTATCTTGTGTCATTTCGAAGGCATGCTAAGGTTCAGATGGTGCCCTTCTCGCCAAGCTGATCTCCATGATCACATTTCTCTCTGTAATGCTGTGCCAGAAGTTCTGTCACTGGAAGGTGCCTTAGTAGCGTTTTGATCATTTCCAAATCCAGTCTCCATGGACTCACTCCTAATCCTACCTGCTTGTCTCTCTCTTTCTTGTCCACAACACCTGTCTCCAGATGGGTCCCCTCAGCCTGCTGGTGATAGGCCTTGTAGCTGTGCACTGCATGGGTATCCTGGTGAAATGCGCTCACCACTTCTGCCGCAGGTGAGAGCCCTCTGAGTTGCCAAATTGTCCTTTTGGGTTCTGTTACTAGCACTGAAAGAGAGGACTTAGGCAGACCACTCCAAATTCTTTGTGCTAGCTAAAGGTGACTGCTAATTATTGCAGCACTCCCTTTCCCTGGTTATTTTTGTGTTCTTTTTCAGTTTGTTGTTATCTGTCATATTTACTTATGTCCAGGGGACAGAGACCACATTCTACTTCCATGTGCTTTGTAGTATTTACCCCACTGAAATGTTTCTACCAGATGGCTGTTAATTATAAGAAAGTAACTGGCCTGTCGACTTAACATTTTCTGGTCCTTGAAAGCATTAGATGCAGGACTCAGTGGTTTCTCCAGTGACAGGTGGGGAACTGGCCCCGGTCTCAGTGAGCTACCTTTGTTCTGCCACTTATTGTCAAACCCACACACTCTGCCCTTCCTCTCCCCAACCCCAGGCTGAACAAGCCCTTTGTGGACTATGGGGACACAGTGATGTACGGACTGGAATCCAGCCCCAGCTCCTGGCTCCGGAACCACGCACACTGGGGAAGGTAAACAGTTTTCTCTTTTGTTGCTGCTGTGAACTCCCAGAGTGGAGGCCTTCAGACAGGGAGGAGAGATGTGGCAGATAGTATGAGCAATGGAAAGAGCATTGGGTCTGTGGATTTGGCTTCTAGCTCAGATCTGCAAGCACTCTTCTGGTGGCCTTGGCTCTGTGACGCCTTTCTTCTCTGGTCCTTGGTTTCCTCATTGGTAAACTGGCCGTTCTAGCTTTGGCAGTCTATGATGAGTGATTATTTTTTATTCACTCATTTGTTCAGTAAAGATATTTAAGCACTCTCTTATAAGTGGTGCACTTATTCTAGGTTTTGGGAGGAGGGCTCCTCCTGGGGTAAGTTATGTGGTCCTGGTCCTCTAGGGACTTGTAGTCTCTGTAAGGAGAAGGATGTGTGGGAAGCTTGAGGACAAGAGATCCGGAATAATCTATACCAGTAGAGAGAGTATCATGAGCTAGCAGTGCATCCTAGAAGCTCAGACAGGGAGGAGATTTAAGGACTATTCCCTGTGCCAGATGAGAAGTGCACATGATAGGTGCTTTAAGGGAAGGACACTGGGCAGGAGAAGGAAGGCTTCAAAGAAGAGATGAGCTGAGCTAGAACCAATGGTTTATTGGGGAAAGACACATTTCAAGAGATGGGGGGGTGTTTGGAAATTTCTCCTTATGGTAACTTTTCATATGCCTAGAGGGAAATATCTAATTTTTGTTTCCTGTTTGAGTAAATGATATGTGTATAGATAGAGCATTGATATCATTAGGTGCCAATTCCTTTTCTATTCTTTTTTATTTTTTTTAAAGATTTATTTATTTATTTGAGAGAGAGGTAGAAAGAGTGCACTTGTGTGCATGAGGGTGGGCAGAAGGAGAGAGAGGATCTCAAGCAGACTCCCCGCTGAGCATGGAGCCCGACGTGGGGCTCCATCTCACGACCCTGAGATCATGACCTTAGCCGAAATCAAGAGTCAGATGCTAACTGACTGAGCCACCTAGGCGCCCCTCTATTCTTTTTAAATTGAACTACATTAAAGCTCTGTTCTCCAGGAAAACTTCTTGTGGTCATCGGGAGGCTTTTATAGTTCACACGTAGTCAGCTTCCTCCTGTGATGCAGGTTTATTTTGCGATTCTTTCAGCAGGATCATTCTCTGTGACTAGGAGAAGCCATAGTGCCAAGTGGCCACCACTGGTTGGCTGGTTGGTTGTTGATTGATTCTTTCTTCCCTCCCTCCTTTCCATCCTTCTTCTTTTCTCTCCTGTCTTCCCCTCTGTTTTCTCTCTTTATCCCCAACTCCCACCCCTCTTTCCCCATCCCTCCTCCTTCCTTCCTTATTGCCTTACTTTCTTTCTTTCTTTAATGAAGTTCATGTATGTTCATGGTAAAAAAAATTTTTTTTGAACAAAATAGGCATTCATAAAGTGAAAAATAAAAGTGTATGCTGGTCACAGTTGCATGGGTATACTTCTGGAATTTTCTGTATGTATACAAACATACACATGTTCTTAACCTTTTTTTTTTACACAAATTGACCATACTGTGCATACTATTTGGAAATTTGGTTTTTTTCTATTAAAGGTTCTAGACATATCTCTATCAGCACATATAGGTGTAACATATTCTTTCTCCCTGCTGTATACTGCTCCATTTAAGAATGGTCTGTCATTTAATCATTTTCCTTTTGATGACCCTTTCTTTAGGTTGTCACCAGCTGTTGTTGTAACAGTGCTTCCACCAGCGGTCTGTTCTGGTACATCTATTCCTGTGTATTTATGTGAGAGTAGGTTGGTTCTTGGATCCAAGTTAGAGAAAGAGACGGTGAAGGGGTCTACTTCCTGGGCTTTATGCTGAGGGCTCCCTGTAGTTTTAGAAGAAATGGTGTGAGATGGCATGGGCAGGCCGTGGGGAGGAGGAGGACAAAGGGACTAGTCTGTGGTCCTGGTGTGTATGCTCCACTCTGGCCATTCTGATTTGGGATTGCCTGACCCCATGCAGCATTCCACACAAGACATAGGAAGGGGACCTCAGTCACCACACAGGACCTTCTTCACCTTCCTCCAAAGCTCCAGACTGGTGGCACCTAGCACAATTTCTCCTTTTATCAGGGCACACTCATCCTTGTCATCTGGTGGGAAGGGTCTATCATGACCTGGGAAAAAGCACTGTTCAAACACATATCTCTCTGGGAATCTTGCTTTTTATCCTCCTGATCTTTGTATTCTTCCCTTCCCCATCTGCAGGCACATTGTGGACTTCTTCCTGATCGTCACGCAGCTGGGATTCTGCTGTGTCTATTTTGTCTTTCTGGCTGACAACTTTAAACAGGTAGGGCCCTGGTTTAAAAAAAAAAATGGCAAGAGATGAGTGGACTTTTAGTTTAGGATTCCTTCTAAGCCAGTTTTGGTCAACAAAAGAATTAAGATTTTTAACATCTTACATAGAATAGTGTCTTTTGCTTAATTTCATCTAAAGACCTAGGGCACTGAGAAACTTCAAGATACCATGTCTAGCCTCCTGTCTTTAGGTAAGATATGATCAAACCCAGCTGAGACAGTTGGGTTACTGATGACAATTATGAAGATCTTGGAAGATGGTTCACCGGCTGCAGGCTTCTGTATGGCTTTGTTCACATACGGAGTCTTTAGTTAGGAGCCCCTTTTGGTGGGAGGTACACTGGCCTTTGCCATTTGAGAGGCCTTTTCTGTTGCATTTCTTCCCCTCAATTTAGGTGATAGAAGCAGCCAATGGGACCACCAACAACTGCCACAACAATGAGACAGTGATTCTGATGCCCACCATGGACTCGCGGCTCTACATGCTTACCTTCCTGCCCTTCCTGGTGCTGCTGGTTTTTGTCAGGAACCTCCGAGCCCTGTCCATCTTCTCTCTGTTGGCCAACATCACCATGCTGGTTAGCCTGGTTATGCTCTACCAGTTCATTGTGCAGGTAAGAGCCAAGGCTCTCCCTCTGCCTATTATATAATCAAAGAAGCAAATGAAACAAGTAAGTGGAACGTAAATAGGGATATGTTACTTATGTGTGGTATATTTACATTAGGGGTTCTCAACTTTGGGACTAGTGACATTTTGGGCCAGATAATTTTTTGTCATGGGGGGGCTGTCCTGTGCGACGTGGGATGTTTTGCAGCATCCCTGCTTTCTACCTACTAGGTGCTAGTAGCAGCCATGCCCCAAGTTATGACAACCAAAAATGTCCCCAGACATTGAGAAATGTGCTGAGGGGTGGGGGTGGTGGTATGTGTGTGTGTGCAGAATCATCCCCATTGAGTTCACTGTGTTAGACTTTTTTCCAATTGGATAGTTAGTACATGAATCATTGTATAATGGGAAAATAGAAGAATATTAAGGTGAAAACAAAATCAACTTCTCTGCCTTAATACTTAGATAAAATAATGCCTTACCGCTCCAGTTATGTATTTATTTGTCAAAATTATAAATCCAGTTATTGTCTCCCCACCTCTTACAGAGCCCATGTGGGCAGGTGTGTAGGTAGTCCAAGAGAGGACATCTGTATGTTGATGGGTAGAAGACCAGGCTGAGAAAAATGTGCCCTGAAACACTGTGGCTCTTTATAGATGAGACAGTGCATTTTGCCAAGACTTGAGAAGAGGAAAAGAGTGAAAGCCAGGGAATAAAAGCATAACTTTAAAAAAGATATTTAAATTTAATTCTCTAAAGAACTCATCAGCACCTTTTCATTAAGATGCAGACAGCACAAATGTTGAAAACCACATGCCCACTTTCTCTCAGGGACTCACTGTATGTGATTGGTCTGTCTCTATCTAGGTCTTATGAATGTATCTACACACTGTATTAGTATGTAGAGAAATATGTAAAACAAAAGTATGTCTTGTTTTTTTTTTAACATGGTTTTAAAAATTATTAGATGTAGGGGCGCCTGGGTGGCTCAGTCAGTTAAGCATCTGCCTTCGGCTCAGGTCATGATCCCAGGGTCCTGGGATCGAGCCCCACATCGGGCTACCTGCTTGGCAGGAAGCCTGCTTCTCCCTCTCCTGCTCCGCCTGCTTGTGTTCCCTCTCTCGCTGTCTCTCCCTCTGTCAAATAAATAAATAAAATCTTTAAAAAAATTTTATTAGATGTAGTATTCATCTACCTTGCTTTTTTTTCCCCTTGACAATGCCTCAGGGAGCTTTTCATGTTGATACACATAGTTTTACCTCATTCTTTCTAATTGCTACATAGTATTTCAGAGAATAGATGCACCATAGGTTATTGAACCAGTCCCCATTCAGTGGACTGTCAGGTCACTTATAATTTTTAGTGTTATTTTAGTATTAGGACAGTGAATATTCTCCGGCCTTCCTTTTTGTAGACACGTATAAATACTTCTCCAAGGTATTTATGTAGAGGTATAGCTGCTAAAGAGTGTGCACTTTTGAATTTTTATTTTGCCATGTTGCTTTTTCCAAAAGCTACTTACCAATTTCATAGACTCCCTCCCATAGTGCATAAGTAGATGTATTGTCAATCTTTTTAATTTCGGTCAGTCTGACAGGTGAACATTGACTCATTTTAATACGGTCTGCTTAACAGTGACCCGGTCGCTCACTGATACGGTTTCTAGGAACGCAGTGCATTGTAAAACAGCACTTCCTGCACTGAGGATATGATATAATGAATTTAGATTAACATTGTACTCAGTGAGCATTTACTGGTTCTCCCCTGTCTTAGGAAGTCGGATGGGTGGCGGATAATTGACTCTTCTTCTGCAGAACTGGTTTTTAAAAATAAAATAAACTGCTGTCCGTTACTGTTTTTTATGTGAATGGAAGGAGGTCCCGTGAACGCATGATTGACCATTTCCAGAGAGTTTCCGTCTCTACCTCTGTCAAATTAAGTTAAAACAAGGAAGGGTAAATAAATGCATGATTTAACTTTGTAATTAGAGATCTCAATCAGTGCCTGGGACACACCACAGTGGACATTAAAGTGAGCGAGGCAAGCTCACATGGACGCACACAGGTGCTGCATTTAATTTGAAAGCATGGCAGGTCGTTGGACTGCAGTGGTTGCCGTGAACGCAGGGCTGGGATGGGAATATGGGTTCCGACAGTGTCTCAGTCCCAGGTGAAGACAGTGTCCGTTCAGAGCATTGTCTGTGTGTCGTGCAACTGGCACGTGCGGATGAGGCAGCCCTGCTGATTTCTTCAGAGCGAGTGTGAGCCTGCCTCTGGGCTCAGCCAGGAGCCGTGTGTAAGATCACACAGTGCTCTCTGCTCTGGGGGAGCTGGGGAGGATGGTGGTTTGGCTGTGTGTTGAGTAGCTTCATTTTGATGTGATATGTAGGTGTGTAGGTATGTAAGATGCTCCCTTTGGGTCACTTTTGTTGCTGATGCTGTTGTTACTGCTGTCTTGTCTTGGCATCTTCTCCCGCTGTCTGGTGTTTCTGAATTTTTTCCCAGTCCTGAGCATGTGTGTGACTGGTGCTCTTGCTCCTCATGCACACGCCAGCCCAGGAAGCTGACTGAGGCCTTCCACCTGTGCAGGTTTCCCCTTAGCTTCATCACCTGCACGGACATATGGCACCCAGGGGGGCTCCCAATAAATGTATTTATCACTGCATTTCCTTAATTCTGAGAAGCAGTTTTTTCACAGGTATAATGTTTCCAAAATTGAGTACATCTTGCAATCCTATGTACATTTAACAGCATTTTCTCAAAAAGCTATTATCACTGAAATTGATAGTATCATAGAATTGAGGAGACAATATGTTGATAATGAACTGATTTTAATGTGTTTCTTTCCCATTAAACTTTTTTCATTTAATGGGTTGGGCTCTAAGTCAGTAGCAATCATTAAGTATGTAGAATTATAAATTCCTTCTGCTGGTCTCATTCACACCAGTATCCCCAGACATGTATTCTGAAATTCCCTCTCTGATACTTCAGCCAGATATGATGTATGAACCGGGGGCAACAGTCATCCACTAACCAACAGACTGCTCCTGTTTCCAAGAACTTAAGTTGCACTGTGATTCAGGAATAATTACAGGGCAATTTCACTCTTTGTCTCATTGTAGAGCAAAAATATTTCTTAGTCTGTCTTCATTCCAGATACTGAAATATTTATTTTTCTTTTCTTTTTTTAAAGATTTTATTTATTTATTTAACACAGAGAAAGAGAGAACAGAAGCAGGGGAAGCGGCAGGCAGAGGGAGAGGGAGAAGCAGGCTCCCCGCTGAGCAGGGAGCCCGATGTGGGACTCTATTCCAGGACCCTGGGATCATGACCTAAGCTGAAGCAGATGCTTAACCAACTGAGCCACCCAGGCGCCCCTGAAATATTTCTTATAAAGAGATCTTTATAGGCAGGGGCTCAGGAAAAAAAAAAAAGATTTTTAAAAATTATTTGTATTTTAGGGAGACTATAGTATAATTGCTTTGAAAACTTTCAAAGAGAAGCCTATTACAGAGATTAGTATTAGATCTTTTGTTCACTGATACTATTCTGTTATACTGTTGGAGTGTGACCCATATTTATCTAAATATCTCTATAGTTAAATCAATTTTAAAACATTGTAAAGGCAGTTTTAAAATCAATTCTTATTTTGGGCACCTGGGTGGCTCAGTCGTTAAGCGTCTGCCTTCAGCTCAGGTCATGATCCCAGGGTCCTGGGATCGAGCCCCGCATCGGGCTCCCCGCTCCGTGGGAAGCCTGCTTCTCCCTCTCCCACTCCCCCTGCTTGTGTTCCCTCTCTCGCTGTGTCTCTCTCTGTCAAATAAATAAATAAAATTAAAAAAAATAATAATAGGGGCGCCTGGGTGGCTCAGTTGTTAAGGATCTGCCTTCGGCTCAGGTCATGATCCCAGGGTCCTGGGATCGAGCCCCACATCGGGCTCCCTGCTCCGCGGGAAGCCTGCTTCTCCCTCTTCCACTCCCCCTGCTTGTGTTCCCTCTCTCACTGTGTCTCTCTCTGTCAAATAAATACATAAAAAATCTTTAAAAAAAAATTTTAAAAAAAATAATAAAAATAAATAAATAAATAAATAAAATCAATTCTTATTTTAATGTAAGCAGTGTATGCACATGGTTGAAAAAGCCACATTCTGAAAGGACAGAAGCTTCTTTCCCATGCTGAGTCCTGTTCCTTTGATGCTGTCCATTACTGGGGGCTATTGTTCAGTGGTGAGCCGGGGAGAATTCTGTGTCTGCACCTCCTGCTTGTACATCTTTACATTGTACCTGCAGTTAACAATTGCCTTGGTTTTTATTTGCCTCTATTTTTAAATGCTTTTTTTTTTTTTCTATTTTGTCCCTAAATGTTCCAGTACTCCTGTCAGGTGTTTATCAGTAAAATTTTTCAAGTGTCCACTCATTCACAAGAATTAAGAGAAGGGAGGGGCGCCTGGGTGGCTCAGTAGTTAAGCGTCTGCCTTCGGCTCGGGTCATGATCCCAGGGTCCTGGGATCGAGCCCCGCATCGGGCTCCCTGCTCAGCGGGAAGCCTGCTTCTCCCTCTTCCACTCCCCCTGCTTGTATTCCCTCTCTTGCTGTGTCTCTCTCTGTCAAATAAATAAATAAAATCTTAAAAAAAAAAAAAAGAATTAAGAGAAGGGAGAAGGGAAGGAAGGAAGGAAGGAAAGAAGGAAGAAAAGCAGAGAAAAAAAAGAAAAGAGCTCTTTTAAAAATCTTCCACCTTTCCTTCCAGCTTTATCTGTGTGGAGTGTTTATGTAGTTGTATTATAGTGAATATGTAAATTTAAAAAGTTAATGTTCTAGTATTTCATAAGCAGTTTTTCATTTGCTACTTAGTTATCTCAATTTTTACTTTTAAAATAGTGCATAATATTCTGTGGTATGGTTGATGTGCAGTAAACTAACTTGTTTTACTTGTTTGGGAATATTTAGGTTGTTTTTAATTACTATTAAATAACTTTGCTCTAATTTTTTTATATTTTGATTTTTTTTCCTATTCGGATTAAATTTCTGGGGATGGGATTACCTAATGAAAGAAGGTAACTATTTTTATGCAAGCTTCAACATTTGAGTTTTTTATAGTACACTGGGCTATAGTCTTTCCCCAACGCAGGTAGGGTTTTCTCAGCCTGAAGGGAAAAACATACAAAAGCTAAATGTCCCCCAGATCATCTGTCAGATGTCAGACTTTCTCCCTTCACAGGATCTTGGATTTAGGAAGAGATGTGACCTCTCTGATGTTGGAGTTCAAATCTCGAATCTCTGTATAACCTTTACTTTGTTTTATTTTCTCTTTCAGAATATCCCAGACCCCACCCGCCTCCCCTTGGTGGCGCCCTGGAAGACCTACCCTCTGTTCTTCGGCACAGCCATTTTTGCATTTGAAGGCATTGGGATGGTAAGAGTTGCATTGTGATGATCTGTTGTCCTTGGTGTCCTTGAGGTTGCTTGATGGAAAGCTGAGGAAGTGCTATTAGAAATTATCTTCTGAAACTTATTGGCCAGTTAACGGACAGCATTTCAGGGATTCCACTGGAGTTTCCCAGCTCTAGCTTTTGAAAATAAATTGTATGTGATTTAAGAACGTTTACATTCAGACCCCCTGTGTTGCACAGTCATCCCCTTTGTGTGCAGTAAGCAGTAATATGTGACAATTGGGAATCCAGGGTCTAGAGTCAGACTGACTAGGGGTGAGTCCTGGCTCTGCCAAGGAGTAGCTGTGTGACTTTGTAAGGACATAACTTCTCTGAGCCTTCATTGTTTGCTTCTGAAAAGTGAACTTAATCATTAGTATTTGTTAGGATTAAATAAGATATGTGTGAAGTGCTTCACATAGTCCCTGACACATAGTGAGCATTAAATGATTTTTATTTTTATTAATAATACTATTGATTTTATTATTAAATCAATAAACACGCAAATTATCTCTCTGTCCTGGAACATTGATGTGCTGTATTTTTTTGGGTGTAGATAAATAACCTTAGCCTTCATTCCTGGCTTAGCTTCCCCCATCATTGCTGTGATTTCACCCAATTATTCTCCTTAAGGAGAGGAATGTGCCACTCAGTTGTACCTAATTTGATTTTTATTTATATTTTTCATAGTAAAGGTCCAGAATTCTTCTTTGAAGAAAATTATTAGTTCTGCTGGCCAAGAGCTTAGGAAAAGGGAAGACACTTTTCCTTTCATGGAATATCTTTTTATCCTCTTTTGATTTCTCTACCACTTTATATACTTTTAAGAAAACCTAGAAGCTGGAGAGGGTTTTTTTTGTCAAAATACTAAGAAATTGCCCCGGTGGTATTGATGGAATGGGTTAAGGCTCTAACATCACAGCGAGGCTTTCTAAGTGATCAGTGTGTAAGTTGTTGTCCTGAGTTTTAACACCTTCGCTTTGCTCTTTCTTTGGGCTTCTCAGTGCCCAGGAAGAATGTCTCCCCTTGATTCACAAACACAATGTTTTCCTGCTGCTGGGGTTGAGACCTGAAATGGCCCATATTGCAGCAGTGAGGAAGAGGCCCCACGTATGTGGGACCGGAAAGAAAAGATTGAGTTAAGTGTGGAAAGCTGCCCGGAGACCCTGGGTTCTTAAGGAGCATTGTGCTGAATAGATCATTTTTCCCTAACAGCGCAGTGCAGAAGTTGCTCTTTGCATCATTTCATCAGCCAAGGCTTGGAAATGGAGTCATTCTATAATCATCATTATCTGTTACTTTAAGATTTCTCTGTTTTCTATTTTTATAAGGGGGGAAAACACTGCTGTTTTGACTTTTAGTTTGGACTTGAGGGCTACTGGGTGTGACTGGGTGAAGGGCCCCTGTTCGCTGTTTGTTCATTGTGCTCTTGCTCTCTCTGTGTTTGTGCCACTGGCCCAGGCCTGGCAGACACGGAGGAGATGGGCTGCCTGCTCTCTGGCTCTCTAGACTCTCCATAAAAGGTAATGGAAGGAAAGCTTACAAACTGTTTCTAATTGGATGTGGATCAGCTGCAGCTTGAGCCCCCTGAGCTGGGGAGGGGGTGCGGTACTGAGGCCCGGTCGGAAGTGCGGAGCTGTGGCGCCCCTCACGGCACCAGGCCTGTAGCAGGCCCGCGGCGTCTGGCACCGACCCACTCTGCCTCATGGCCGCAAGTGTTTGAGGAAAAGGAGTGTCATGACAAGATCAAAGACGGTTTGTGGGGCAGCTAGACATTGCCCTGCGTTGCTTTTCCTTGCCAGCCATGCCAGATGCAGCTGATAGCAGGTTGTGAAGCCTGTCAGTCACAGCTTCTGTTTTCCCTGTTCCTAGAGGAACCAGTCTTCAAAGGGACCTTTGCTTTGCTTTGGAATGTCCTCTGCTGTGAGGGAAAGGGCAGCGAGGTCAGTGGTTTGGAATAGGAATCTGGAAAGTGGGTTTTGTTTTACATTTTGTGAGCCTGAATCTCTCCATCCTCTAACTTGTGATACCCTCAGCACCCCCGTTTCTCTAAGTCAGAGGTTTAACATGTCACTGCTGGCCCTCTTGGAGGTAAGGAAACAGTTTCTGGGAACTAGAGTGGCAGCTTTCCCTGACCTACATTTTGCATTCTTTGGACGGGTTAGCAGAGCCGTGATCTCAGACGAGGTCTGTTCTCCATTGTGCCGGGTGGGCATGAAGCAGCTGCCACGGGGCTGTGCCAAGAGGCAGAGAGCACCCCCAGCCCATGGGGACCCTGGAGTAGGAGTTCAGAGCGCTGGCCTGGGCAGGAGTCCTGGGGCCATTCCTGCCTGCCCTCGCCCTCAGGACTTTCCCCGCTTCCACATGGGAAGCGGGGTATCTCCTCCAACTCTGAGGAAATAACTTGCCTTTGTTTATCTGTCTGGTAAAGGATAGATGTGCTTTTGGGGAATCCTGGGGATAAAGCAGTTACTTTTTCTGAGAAGATTACAATTTATTTTGGCCATTAATGTTACTTTTTCCCGTTTTCTCTTCTCTCTCACTGCTCTCATAGGTTCTGCCCCTTGAAAACAAAATGAAGGATCCCCAGAAATTTCCGATCATCCTGTACGTGGGAATGGCCATCATCACTGCCCTCTACATCAGTCTGGGGTGTCTGGGGTACCTGCAGTTTGGAGCTAATATCCAAGGGAGTATAACCCTCAACCTGCCCAATTGCTGGTATGTGTGGGAGGATAGAAGCCTGGGAACACTGGATGTTGTTGTTTTTTTTTAATTAATGGGTCAGAATGTGGATTCCCCTCCTCCTTATACCTTTAATCAGCTCACTTCACTTTAGCCCACTGCTGCCACCCCCACCCCCAGGCCAGCACCATCCCTCCTTGGCTGTGCACTGAGCCTTTGGACCCCTCCACCTATCTCAGTCTTACTCCTTCTGCAGACCTGTTCTCTGTTACCTGTATGAGCCATCTCAGACTCAAGTCAGTTGTGCATCTCCTTGTTGAGAGTCTTCCCTTTGCTCCTCTGATTGAGGCAAAACCTTTAAGGTGCCTGTTAGTCCCACTCAGGTTCTAGCCCTACCTGCACCTCATTCCTACTTGGCCAGGAAGACTTAGTCTAGGAGTCACTTTTTTTTTTTTTTTAATTGTATTATGTTATGTTAGTCACCATACAATACATCATTAGTTTTTGAAGTAGTGATCCACGATCCATTGTTTTCGTATAACACCCAGTGCTCCATGCAATACGTGCCCTCCTTAATACCCATCACCGGGCTAACCCATTCCCCCACCCCCCTCCCCTCTAAAACCCTGTTTGTTTCTCAGAGTCCATAGTCTCTCATGGTTCATCTCTCCCTCCGATTTCCCTCCCTTCATTTTTCCCTTCCTTCTCCTAATATCCTCCATGCTATTCCTTATGTTCCACAACTAAGTGAAACCATATGATAATTGGCTTTCTCTGCTTGACTTATTTCACTTAGCATAGGAGTCACTCTTTTTGAGAAACTTTCTCTGCTGTCTTACCCACAACTTCCCGTCTAGGTCTGATGCCCCTTTCTTCTGCTCTTGTGGGATCCCATTTGGACCCTAGCCTAAATCTTATTCCATAGTGCTGTAATTGTCCATTTACCCGAACTGTGATCTCCCTACATGATCAGCTCTGGGAGGGCAGGGCTCCATTGCACCCCAGCACCCGTCATAGTGCCTGGCACATGATCATCACCCAGGGGATGACTTTTGAATTAAAAGGAGGACTAAATGCGGGGACTGAGCATTTTATGAATGAGGAGATGTTCTCAGGAAGCAACTGGTGTGTAGAGGATAGAGGTGGTCTGCCACGTCCAGCTCTGTGGACTTGCGCATGTCACAGCTGCTCACTGCCTCAGCTCCCACTTCTGGGAACCAGGAATAGTCATTTCTTTCTGCCAGGGTTGTCATGAAGACCAAATGCTATGCATGAGAAAGCACTTTGTAATACTGTTCTGGTGCTATCAGAAGGAGGACACTGCCCTGAGCCTTCTACTTGGGAAGAGGAATTCCTATGGAGGTGTATGCCAAATGGATTGGTTATCAGGTGACTGAAATACCATTCCTCCCTAGAAATCTGAGCCTGGAAGGGCCAAGTATCCCATCAGTTCACTTAAACATTCCAAATAGACAGGGAGAGAGGAGGGAGAATTGGCTAGGTTCCCAGGTTCTGCTGTGCCTCTCCCATGGCAGTTACTGGCTTGATGTGCAGGTGGAGGCCTGTCACCATGGATGAGGGCTTGTGGGGAGCACTTCTGTATCTCACTTTGCTTAGCTCTTGGTTACTATATTGCAGGGCAACACTAAGACATACTGAAATGCTAACTAAAAAGGTAGCTGTCGGGGCACCTGGGTGGCTCAGTCGGTTAAACATCTGCCTTTAGCTCAGGTCATGATCTCAGTGTCCCGGGATTGAGCTCCGTGACAGGCTCCCTGCTAAGCAGAGAGTCTGCTTCTCCCTTTCCCTCTGCCCCTCCCTACCACTCATGTGTGCTCGCTCTCTCTCTCTCTCTCTCTCTCATATAAATAAATAAATAAATAAAACAGACCTTTAAAAAAGATGAAAAGGTAGCTATCACAGGGTGTGTCTGAAGCAACAGTTCCCTTTTGAAGATTAGAATTTCATTGTGGAGGGCAGCTGAGCAGACACTGAAAAGCTTGTTGAGTGCCCTGGGGATCAAAAGGACCTTTCAGGCCGGCCTGGTTGACCTGCCTGTGCATGTTTTTAGAGCTCTGATCAGTGAGGCATTGTGCAAGGACAGGTGGAGAAAATTGGGAAAAACATTTATTCAGCTTGCCATTGGTGTTTAACACAGGACACCCTAACTAGCAGGGGTTTGGGGACAAGATCGGTGGGGTGGCCAGCCAAGTGGTAGCCTTGCAATGGGCTAGTGTTTTCAGAAATCTTTCATTCTGATGCCTGCTTTTAAATTTCCAAATGTTCCTGTCCTTTCAAGAGCCAGGTGGTAGCTTGGCATAACTGGAGATAAATGGATCAGCAGGAACAGAAGCAGCCCACATAATCCGAACCTATAGATAAGCACCTGTCTTCTTTCCTCTGATACTCCAAACCCAGCTACTCTAATCTTTCTCCCTCCATTCTGGTACAATTTATTTAGCCGTCCCTGCAGGTGACTATCCTGCTTCCAGACTTCCTGGCACTCCAGAAGGCTTTGGTGTTGTATTGAGTTTAATTATAGAACCACCAGATGATTTTTCCAAAGCCTTTTTATTATCTATTCTTGGAGCAAGTAAGACCTTTTGTCAAACTCAGTCTCTCCCAGGGTGTTCTCCTGTTTATAGGGTAAGAACATCTTCTAGGTATTAAGTTCAACCACAGAGAAATTCAATGCACATTATACACAATATAGTTACCACTTTTTTTTATTCTTATGTTAATCCCCATACATTACATCATTAGTTTTAGATGAAGTGTTCCATGATTCATTGTCTGTGCACAACACCCAGTGCTCCATGCAGAATGTGCCCTCCTCAATACCCACCACCAGGCTAACCCATCCTTCCACCCCCCTCCCCTCTAGAACCCTCAGTTTGTTTTTCAGAGTCCATCGTCTCTCATGGTTCATCTACCCCTCCGATTTCCCCCGCTTCATTCTTCCCCTCCTGCTACCTTCTTCTTCTTCTTCTTCTTTTTTTTTTCTTAACATATATTGCATTATTTGTTTCAGAGGTACAGATCTGAGATTCAACAGTCTTGCACAATTCACAGCGCTATAGTTACCACTTTTAAATAGATTTCCAACGAGGTGGGGGAGGCCCGTGTTTCTTGCTGCCTAATGCAATGAGGGTCCTGTTTGAAGTGGAGCTTTGCTAAGGGGCAGGGTGGCCTTCCCTTTTAATGATCATGTCAGATCCATGAGTACTCATGGATCAGACTTGTTTCTACTCTGCACAGTCCTAGGCATGAGATAAGATAGAGATACCAGATGGTGACGTAATGGTCTCCCTGAGAAGCCGCATGTGAAGCCACAGTAGGGAGACGGCCACAGTGGAGTGGAAAGATGGGTTTTGCTCCTGCTTCTTGGCTGTGTGGTCGCCATCTGATTCTAGGGAGCACTGAATTGGAGGAGAGGCTATAAAAAGGCCTGTTATATTTTAATTGTTTTAATTTTTGAAAGGATATAGGTCCCTGGTAAAGATTGCAGATGTTCAAAGTCTATACAGTATATGTTTATTTCCATTTGCCTCCCCCAAGTCCCCAGTGTTACAGTTGCCCATTTCAGAGGCAATATCTTGTATTTCCTTTTGGAGATGTTTAGAATATGTAAGAATATCATATGTATGTGTGTGTGAGGGGGAGTGTTTTCCCCTTTTTTCTTTTTTTTGGACAATTTATAGCACACTGTAGACACTGTTTCTTCACGCGGTTTTCACTTAATAATATCACAAAACTAGTTCCATTTCAACACCTATAGTTCTGCCTCATACTTTTTCTTTTTTTCATTTTAAACAAGAAGTTTATTTAAACAACAAGACGCTTGACTTGAAGGGAAAACTATCTAGGATTCATTTCTTTTATTAGAGTAATTTATCCCTACTTAAAGACAGATTGCCCTACATGTAACAGCTATGTACAAAAAAGTTATAAAATTGTCCTTGGTTTTACAATGATAAATGAAAAACATTAAAATTTTGCAATTGAACAAGGTATGCAAGGATTTTTATGTTGTTCTTTTTTTGTTAAACAGTGAGGGCAAAATAACTTACTGGAATATAAAGATAAGAGCTGACTGAGCATGCCACTAATGGAGAGAGGGGCTATTTTCACAGAAGCAGTATTTTCCCCCCATCCCACTCCATTTGATGTCGATCAAAACATACCATTGGCCATTTAGTTTAAAAAAAATGCAATATGCTTGTGCACATACAGTTACTTTATGTACAATAAAGGAATGGGGAAGGGGAAAATGAAAGAATAGAGAAAACTATACTGTAGTAGTCAGGATACGGTGAAACCAAATTGCAGCTTTCTAATTGAGAATGTCTTCGTGGTCTGGAGGAACAGAGTCCTGGAGTAAAGTAACAGGTTCCCTTTTTAGTAGACACCTCCTGTCTGCTGCTGGAACACATCAATTGTATCTTCATCCTCCATTTCCAGCTGTACAGGTGTGTCTGTTTCATTGATTGGCTGCCCATCAAATCGGAATCTGATCTGCCTCATTGACAAACCCTGTCGTTCACAATAGGCTTTCATTAGTTTACTAAGTGGCGTGTGCCTCTTAATCTTAAACTGCACCACAGAACCATCCTGCCCCACCACCTTCAAATTAATATGATCGTTGTTCTCAGTCTTGACTCCTTCCTTGGGCTTTTCGTCGGCCATGGCGAGCGCCGGAGTCTCCTCAGCTGCCGCTTCACAAAAGAGGTACCAGGTCCGCACCGAACGAGCATGCAAGCGGCACCAGGAGCGGCAGAAGAAGGAGGTGGCAGCGGTGGAGGAGGGAGAGGGCGCGCCCTGCCTCATACTTTTTAACAGCTATATGGCACACCATGATTTATTTAACTAGTTGCCCACTGGTTAACATTTAAACTGTTTTCAGTCTTTCATACTTAAATAATGCTGCAGTGACATATGTTGAATGTCAATTTTTTGTGCACATGTGCAAATATATCCGCAGGATAAATCCCTAGACATGAAATTGCTGGGTCCAAAGGACCACGTGCATTTGTGACTTGGATAGATATGGCCACTTCACCATGAGACCATTTTGCCCCCTCGCTGCTAGGGCACATGGAAGCAGAGCAGGCTTTTGAATGTGTCTCGGCTCTCTCCCCAGGCTGTACCAGTCGGTCAAGCTGCTGTACTCCATCGGCATCTTCTTCACCTATGCCCTCCAGTTCTATGTCCCGGCTGAGATCATCATCCCCTTCTTTGTGTCCCGCGTGCCCGAGCACTGGGAGCTGGTCGTAGACCTGTCTGTGCGCACCGTGCTGGTCTGTGTGACATGTGAGTAGAAGACAAGATACTTGCTTTGTTTGCTTTCCCAAAGGGCACCCAGTCCCCAGGCCTTTCTTGAGCGAGAGACTGTTGGGAGTGGAACAGTTGTAGTGTGTAAGCAGGAAACTTGACCTGTTGTCTCAGGTGCAGATTTGAGGCCTGGCTAGGTGGTGAAGTGAATTGATTATATACGTGCTCTAAAGGACGTGGGAATGAGAACAGTGGTTTATTTGTAGATACAGCATAAAATACTATGGTGATGGTCATAATTCAGAGCAAAGATATAAAATTACGATCCCATGTCCTTGCGATAGAGTAAGGTAAAAGTCTATAGAGAGCGATTTAACTCATCCATATGAGTGTAGGTTACTTTGATAGCAGGTGCATGTTTATTGGTGTTTTCAAATAATCATTTCCCAGTGTGACAATCTATTCCTTTAGATTTCATTTTTGAGCCTACATGATACTATACTAGACATATACTAAATGTGTTTCTTAGAAAATCTGTATGGATTAACCTAGGTGTTTGATTTTTTACTCTGTGTTTTATTCTTCCTCCCTGACCACACACCCAGGAGTGTGAGTTAAGACATAAGATGTTACTTTATTTGCTGTTGGTTGAAACCAGTATACATTTTAAAATAAAAATAAATTTTTCTTTTTTTCTTTTTCTTTTTGGTAGCTTCTGTGAGTTGATAGAATAGAGAACCCCTGAATAAATTGATCTATAATATCCAATTTAAATTTGCAACTGCTTTCCAGATTAAAGTGCTGGAATCTAGATTTCACTTTTTGGCTATGTTTGGCTTTTTATTTTATTTTTAAAAATTGTATTGTTTTGGGAAAAGAAATGTCTTGGTTTATTATATTGAGACTTCTCTGGGAACTTCTTAAATTATCCAGTCCAAGCCTCTATCTTTGGAATAAAGATAGGTCTCTGTGGTTTTTAAATTGAAGCAGAATGGAGCATTTTAGGGATAAATGATGTGAAAGTTGTCTAGCATTTGATCATAGTCTGGAAAATCAGAAATGACTTTATGGGTTGACTGATAGCAAGAGGAGGGCAGTAGAGGTTAGACATGGGGAATAAACTAGTGCCTATCCCAGAATAAACCTCTTCAAGGGAACAGATGAGTGCCCATCCAAGAATGGACTTCTTCCAGGGAATGGACTAATACCTATCCCAGATGGGCCTCCTCAAGGAAACACACTAGTGCCTGTCCCAGATGGACCTCCTCAAGGGAATAGTTTAGTGCTTATCCTAGAATGGACTTCTTCAAGGGACAGCCTAGTGCCTATTCCAGAAACAACCTCCTCAGGGAATAAACTAGTGCCTATCCTAAAAAGGCCTTCGTTAGTGCCTATTCCAGAATGGACCTTCTTGAGGGAACAGCTTAGTGCCCATCCCAGAATGAACCTCCTTAAGGGAACAAACGAGTGCCTGTCATAGAAGGACCTGCTCAGGGGAAGCAATAGTGCCTATCTCAGAATGGACTTCCTCAAGGGAACAGACTAGTACCTCACCCTAGAATGGTCCTTCTCCCAGAATGGACTTCCTCAAGGGAACAGACTAGTACCTCACCCTAGAATGGTCCTTCTCCAGAAAATAGCTTAGTGCCTATTCCAGAATGGACCTCCTCAGGGAATAGCCTAGTGCCTATCTCAGAATGGACCTCTTCAAGAGGACAGACTGGTGGCTATACCAGGTAGGACCTCCTCAAGGGAACTAAATAGTGCCTATCCCAGAATGCATCTCCTCAAGGAACAGACTCGTGCCTATCCCAAAATGAACTTCCTCAAGGAAATGGACTAATGCCTGTCCTGGAACAGATTTCTTCAAGGCACCTGCAGTTCTCTTTCTCATTGTACTTCAAGGATGTGGGTGAAGCGTAGTGTCCTGGATCTTTGTATGGAAGGAACTCCCTAGAGCAAAGGAACTTAATGCCTTCCCAGGACCTTCTGATTTAATGTTGGGCAGCATTCTATCTAAGGATTTATTACAGGATGGGGCTGGGTAGGAGCCAGGCAGAGGGTGGACTGCTTGGTTTTGCCAACTCCAGCAAGTTGATGGCAATCAAGAATCTCACTTGTCCTTGTATGTAGCCTCTGTTTTGCATACCTTCTGGCCCTGTCTAGTCCAATCCATAGGAAAAGACCACTCAGCAGCTAATCCTGTGCCCGGAGCTACCCATAGGCCACTATTGCCCCAGAGCAACTGAAAAGGAAAGAATGTGATGTATCTTGCTTTTCCAGTAATTTGCCTTAATATATGCTAAGGTACTCTTGATTTTGCTTCTGTCTTCTGCCTGCAACTCCCGATGCTTTGACTCAGATATATATGTTTCGCTGTGGATGGATTTCCAAGTGTTGAAGAGACATTTCATGTGTACAGTGTTTATGATGACAACTTTCAGTGTTCCCATTCTGGAATCCAAAGGGCGCTGGAAGAAAGGGTGGGGGTAGTTCATTCAGATAATTGGCTTTTTTCAAAGTGATTCCTCTAGAAAAGGTAAGTCTGTCTAGGTAAAATGTGCTCTAACTGCCTAGACACCAACTTACTCCTGCTTAAAGAGCTGGGGCAGTGATGCTGGGCCTGATTCCTCTCCTGGCCCCATTTTCTTCTCAAGCCTGGCTTAGCCTCCAGTAGCATATGTCTTACTTCCTGCCAGGTTTCTTTCCCCTGAGCCCCACAGGAGCCAGCAGTCTCTGATTCACAGACCTCATGCTATCCTTAGGTGTCTCTTGGTTTTTGCTTCACTTTTCCTGACTCTGTCTGGGGGTTTCATCTCCCTTGAAGAGTGTGACGCTCAGAGGATACAAGCTGGTTTTGATCTTCAAGCTTACTCAGTTATTTTCCCCTTCTGTGATCTGTTGTGACTTAGCATTGCACAGTCAGCCTATTAAATGATGTGGCCTCTTCATCTCTGAGCACTCGGGTTTCTCTTACCTTCCCTGGAGACTTTGAAGTGATTGTGGGATTGAGGAGAGGCATTTTACTGTAGCACCAACTTAAATGTATTTATGTGAGTTTATTTTGTTTTTGTTTTTTTCTGTACTTTCAGATCTTTTTTGCATAAGGTTAATTGGTATATGATTTTAGAACTTTGCTAGAACTGATTATTTTCAGTTATACCCATAATTTTAATAGCAGTTTGGTTTTTTTGCTATTTATGGTGTTTTCTTGTCCTTTTTCCCAACATTTCCTCCTCTTCCTCACCCTCCACCCCCCAAGGGGAACAGGGGAATTTGGTCCAGACTAATTTTTTTTTTTTTTCCATTTGTAATTACCTTTCTTACCACTCTCTTTAAGGGAACAAACCCAAAGACTGCTGTGTCTACTTTTTGGTGCTTAATTCAGACTGTTGGAGAGGAGGGGAAAGGGGAATATGCGTGTCAGGGAATGGTGCTCATTTTGTTGTGATTGCATATGGAATGGTATTTATTTCCGGCCCATATGTTTGAATTGCACTTAGCAGGTCACCTGTGTGCAGAGTTTGTGTAGGAGAGGCTGGAAGAGGCTGACTCCATAGGGAGTTCAGAGGTATAGGAAGAGTCGTTTCTTCGGGTTCCATGAGGCATTAACCTGTCCTTCAGGGGTTTGTGTTAATTCTCTGTGGCATTTGCCACATGAAACATCTTAACTTCAGTGAAGTATGAACATTTCAAAAACCTATTGTTGAAGATGCAATAACATAAAACAATATCAATTAAAAGGCCTGTTTGGACTGGAATGCATAGTTGTAGAACATTCCAAACAGCCAGACCCAATCGAGTATGAAGCTCCCAGGTCCAAACAGAGTGGCTTCTCGGCACCTTTTGGCCTCTCACACTTCTCCATCCTGCAGCTGCAGAGACAGAGGGCAGCAGTGTTAATGAGCTGTGCACCATGGGCCCCTGTGAACCCTCCTGAGAGAGGCCTCAGGTTCCTCAGCTGTAAGACGTGCAGGGTATCTGATTGCTAAGGCTTCTCTCAAGTCTAAACTGTGATTCTACACAACTGCTTCAAGCCTGATTTTAAATTTCTACCAAAATATTGCTAAAAAAAAAAAAAAGCTAATGTAAAAACATTTCAAGAATGTCTAGATCTGGGGTTACTAAAGAAGAAATTCTGAATATCCCACTGACTTAACAAAATGATTTTTTTTTTTTTTTTTGCGTTTTATCTTCTGTGTTACTCCTCATGGCTGCACGTTGCATAATATACACAGAACTTTGTCTTTTGCTTTTTATTTGATATTATATCATGAATATGCGTATCCTTCATAAATATTTTCACGGCCACATGATATTCCATTATATTGGCATATTGTATTTACTAAGCTACTCCTTTACTGTTGGACATGTAGGTTGTTTTCCTTGCTTTTGTACTTCTTAATTTATACTCCCACTAAGTGAGATTATACATTGTGTTCAAGACTGTTGTTAATTTTCAAGGTAGATTTCTAGACATTTTAGAGTAACACAGGTAGGCTTCACCAGCATCAATCACAGTGAAACAGCAGAAAGAGCTTCTGGACACAGGGCTGTAGGTGTCCAACATATTTCTCTAAGTGTGTGTTTGTTCTCTTAAGTGCTTTCTCTTCTCTAGTGCATAAGTCAGCTTTTCTGTTGCTGATCTAAAACCACAGGCTCCAGAATCCCAATCAGTTCCTTCTCTAAACATGGTCATTTGCCTTGTGTTGCTTCAGCAGTTAAAAGATCATATTTTAGGGCGCCTGGGTGGCTCAGATGGTTAAGCGTCTGCCTTCGGCTCAGGTCATGATCCCAGGGTCCTGGGATCGAGTCCCACATCGGGCTCCCTGCTCTTTGGGAGCCTGTTTCTCCCTCTGCTTCTCTCTCTCTCTCTCTCTCTGTCTCTCGTGAATAAATAAATAAAATCTTTAAAAAAAAAAAAAAAAGATCATATTTTAAGTGTCTCTTAACCCAAAGGGAAGATGTTTTGTAACACCAGTGGGGCCCTCTTGACTAATCACATGGGCTAGCTGAGTTGTCCTCAGTCCTCCATTGCTGTACATGCCACAGCCAGGCTGCTGCAGATGGCGGTGACTTGCCAGTTAGGAGTGTGCTGTCTTCCTCTCTGTATGGGGTGTTCTTGTGAGGGAGCGGGGAGGGAGTAGGGGCAGGATATTCCTGGTTGGCTGCTTCCTGAGGTCTCTACCTTCTTTCTCTTTCTAGAGGGCTTTAACTCAGAGTAAAGACATTTAATGCTACAAGAGGTTTTGGTTGCTCCCATATCTTTCTTAAGTACCTGATTCTCTCTCTGGAATTAGCTAAAACTAGTTGGCCACATTTTGCATGGGGGCAAAACAGGTACCCCTGCTGTTGGAGCCCTTGGGGCTATTTGTGCTAATTTGGTTGGGTCCTCTTGTCTTCCTCTTTCCCCAGCATATTAGTGGGAGGCTCACAATTCTTGCCTTCTCCCCACCCCTCCCCCATTATCTTTCTCCAGTGTCAGGCTTTATTTGGGGTTCAGTTGTGGTGTCTGGTCCAGCTACGACAGGAAGAGGGCCTTTGCAGCCCTGTGATCCTGGCTTTAAGAGAAAAGTTTAGCCACTTTTAAAAGATATTTTTGTTAAGCAAGCTTATCTTGTATGTCCTTTATAGTAAAAACAAGGACAAGTTTTTAGATTGCTTTTAAAATGTCATGATGAAGTGGAACATCTCTGTCTAATCTGAGAAAAGATTCTGATCATATAAGCTTCTGTTGCTGTTTCCACTTAATTCTTATCATAGAGTTGAACACATCTGACCTCACTTAAGTCGTATCATGAAGTACCATATGTCCTCCAGGTTAATGGGAGGGAGAGAGGGGGGATGGCAGACTCAGAGCCGGGAGGGCCTGGGCAGGTCATCTGACTTCTCTCCTCCTCGGGCTCATTGTCTCTGATAAAGGTCTCCCTTCTCTTGAGTGGGCTGTAGCATTCATGGAGACTAGGGGCTGGTACCAGAAGACTAATTCACACTCCCTTTAATGACACAAAACCAGGCAGGCTGGAGGCTATGTTTTTGGCACAACCATGTGTCCTCGGAGAGGAATCCCATTGCTCTGCTGTGCCACCGTTGAGCAGTACATGGTGCTTCCCAGTTGACAGTGAGCTGAGGGACATACCCCAGAACACATTCCTAAGTGACTAAACCTACATTGTGTGGTTCCTTAACATTTCAGAGCTGGGTGAGACTTCAGTGACCACCCAGTGTTAGTTAGTACAGTCACCTGACCTCATGGGTGACTGAGCTGAGGCTCCGAATGGTGAGCTCATTTGTGCTAGGACTGGTGGTTGCATTAGCTCACATTTATGAAGCATTCATTGTGCACTTAGTGCTGTAAGTTCTTTATGTGAATGATCTCATGTGACCATCCCTATTCAGCTGTAGGTTAAATAGCTGGCTGGTTAGTGGTGGAGCTGAGATTAGAGCCCAGGTTCTGAGTCCAGAGCCCACACTCTTAGCCACCTTCCTGTACCAGCTTCTCCTAGGGCTCAGTTCTGATTGCTGCCTCGGTGCCATTGCCACCTCACTACTCCCTTGAATTGGAACCATGGGAGCCATCACTATGATGTTGACAGTAGGCGGATGCAGACCCAGGCCCCAGAGAGGGCAGGTGTCCTTTTCCGGGTCACACAGCAGATCAACTCTTGTTGAGCATTCGGTTGCCCATGATGAGAAAGCCATCATTTTGTCATCAGCTTTCTATATTTTTAACTTTCCTCCAAATTCAATCCTAAAGATCTGAGGGAGGTCACCAACTCTATTTAGAAAGAGCTAACGGCTGAAGCAGACTATTTTTAACTTGGAGGGCAAGTTAAAAGCCTATACTTTCTGTGGACTTTCTGAAGGCTTCAGAACACTGAAGGTGTTAATGGATACTTGCCATTATGGTTGGACACTAGAATAAGGAAAGAGGAAGGCATTGCCCCCGGGGCTGTAAAACCGTGGCAGAGGCAGATCTGAGACTCAGTATCCTTGTATATAGTATATATACTAGTACTTGTATATAGTATATATACTAGTATATACATTGCTGCCCATGAAAAGTGGGCAGCACTTTTCCCTTTTGTCATCAGGCTTCAAAACCCTTGCCCTACTTCCTTTGCAGAGCAGAGAGAAGTCAGGGCTGGTTGTATACCGGTTCTCTGCTAAACAATTGCGGTGTATCCCTGTGAGTGTTAACCCACCATCTGACTCCTCCCGTTCTTCACAGACAGGCTCTTTCTGCTGATCAGCCAGCTCCCCTCTTCTCCCTCCTGCGGGTATCATTTTGCATTTTTTTTTTAAAGATTTTATTTATTTATTTGACAGAGAGAAACACAGCGAGAGAGGGAACACAAGCAGGGGGAGTGGGAGAGGGAGAAGCAGGCTCCCCGCTGAGCAGAGAGCCCGATGTGGGACTCGATCCCAGGACCCTGGGATCATGACCTGAGCCGAAGGCAGATGCTTAACTACTGAGCCACCCAGGCGCCCCTGTATTTTTTCTTAATCGTCAGCTCTGTGATGTGACTATACCAGGGGCTTGAGGCCCTGGATTCTAGTCTCAGGTCTGTCACTTTCTATCATTTAACCTCTCTGGGGATGATAATAATGTTGTAAAGTTATATATCCGTGGACCTGAGGCAGATTCAGCCAGTGAGGGGCTGCCTCACAGTGCTGTCTACCAGACACTGAAGGTCTGCCGTGATGGAGGTGCTCTGGGTCTGTGCTGTCCAGGATGGTAGCCGTTAAGCATAGGTAGCTGTTAAATCCTTGAAAGGTGGCCAGTGTGAATGAGGAACTGAATTCATTTTAGTTGACATAGCTTCAGAATAAATGTGAGACAGGCGATGAATCTGTCCCTCCCCTGGTAAGTCTTGGACCCACCTGCCTCTCCTCTTACTGCAGGGAGTGCTATTCCAGTTTAAAAGCAAGTGCTTCTCATAAAACCTGGCTTCGACTAACATAACATAATAAAATAAAATTTAAAAAAATTTTTTATTTTTAAAGTTAAAAACAACAACAACAACAACAAAACCTGGCTTCTAAATGCAACCCAGTCCTTTTATCTGTAGCGCAGCCAAAGAAGCAGTGATCAATGCAGGCAGTCCATCAGAGGAGTAAAATTGACCTGAGGGAAGATTGGCACCCTTGGACTGAGGTGTTCTGGCAATCTCACCACTGTGGTGCCTTCCTCAGAATGACTTGGCTACATTGCTTTATGAAATGGAGTTGGAACAGAAGCTCCCATGTAAGACGTAACTGATGGGAATCAGTGAGGTCAGGGATATATATGCTCTGGATCCCAGTCTCAATGCTGAGGACCTCCAGTTGGAGCCTGGGGGAAGATAATTCGTCAAAATACATTTGATTACTAATGAGTTAATGATGCACTTTTCATGGGCAGCAATGTATATACTAGCAATGATGATAGGAACTGTCTTAGGAGCCTGTTGTATGCCAGGCCTTGTGGTAAGTGCCTGTGTCAGCTCATTTCATCATCATGATCTCTCTGTGACTCAGGAGTCATTTGTATCCTCATTTTGCCAACAAGAAAACCAGGGAATAAAAGGGCGCTGTAACTTCCCCCAGTGTCACTCAGCCAGAGCCAGGATTCAGAGACAAGAGCCTAATTCCAGAGCCCATAATCCTCCGTCAACTTGTGAAACATTGGCTTTCATTCCGCAACCCCAGTGGAAGGCTGAGTCCGATGGGCACGGTGGGACCAGTGGGCACTGGAGTAAGTGCGGTCAGTGGAGCCTCCTCCCCGTAGTTGGACGGCGGGGCACTTGGGGCCGGGGTGTGGAAGCCCACGGATTTCCTAATGCAGCCCGCCATTCTGTGTCACTTCCACGTCGCTCTCATATGCCCGGGCCTACATTTCAGGTGTGGGAGCCGCTTGATTGTCCTGGCATAGGCATGTAGTCATTGTGTGGGGCCTGGCTCCTCAGGTCAGCCTGCACCCTGAATTGCTTCTACTTGCCCTGTAGGAAAATGCTCCGTGAAATGGGGTTTATCCGTGGTATCGTTCCAGGACGGCTTTTTCCCCCTGTTTTGTTCCTTGTCAGTTAAGTAGAGATGTTTGTGACGGAGGTACCCTCAGTGGTACAAAAATGACCAGTCGCTCAGAAATAGTCCACCTCCTTTTCTGCTCCAGCCTCTCTCCCCTGGTAGGGACCAGACTGCCCTGGAATGTAATTTTGTTCGTTTGCTTCAGAAAGATGGAAGTCATGTCCTGTAGCAGAAAAAGCTGAAAGCCAGGAGATCTGGGTTCCAGTCCCAGTTCTGCCGACCTTGCAGTGAGACCAGGTTGTTCCACACCTGTGGGCATTTGTTTTCTCATCTGTGGAATGAGAGATTGGACTGGATAATGTCTGAGTTCCTGCAGAGCTCTCCATTTGAGATGAAGGACACTTTAGCTAAATTTGTTCAACAGTGAGGAGGTCTCTTCCAGCTCTGGGCAGTCTTGAACAGACATGTCCTCTCTCCTGCAGGCATCTTGGCCATCCTCATTCCCCGCCTGGACCTGGTCATCTCCTTGGTGGGGTCCGTGAGCAGCAGTGCCCTGGCCCTCATCATTCCGCCCCTCCTGGAGATCACCACCTACTACTCAGAGGGCATGAGCCCCCTCACCATCGCCAAGGACGCCCTGATCAGCATCCTGGGCTTCGTGGGCTTTGTGGTGGGGACGTATGAGGCCCTCTACGAACTGATCCAGCCAAGCAGTGCTCCCATCTTCATCAACTCCACCGGTGCCTTTGTATAGCGATCTGGGTGCATTCCCTACAGCTGCCCACCCCACCCCTGTGTGTTCCCCAGCACCTGGCCCCAGAGCCTCTGGTAGGGTTCAGGCTCTGGGGAGAGGCAAGGTTGCTGTCAGGGAACCCCTCTACCTGATACCTCGGTACCCTGGACCAGGTGGGGCTGAGGGCAGGGGAAAGAGTGGGTAGCAGATATGCAGAGGTCCCTCTTAGTGGCCGTGCCATCCCTGTTCATTTGTACTTAATTTAACCTAGAACTTTTAAACTTTTTTCCCTCATCATGTCTCCCTTACCTGCCCCCCTCCTTTCTGTCCCAAATTATTCCTGTTGCACAGCTCACTTTATTTAAAAATCTTAGCATCCCCCACCTCATGTTTTCTCCTTTCCAGGCCCAGGCCTGGATTAAATGAGTGGGAACCCCCTCTCCTTATAAGGCTGGACCTATCTCTTTCTCAGACCTCTCCCAAATATTTTACCTCAGTATCCTCCTACCTATTCAAGTCTCCAGGAGATGTCTGGACCTACCTACTAGTTTAAAACCAGCCCCCAAAGCTGGAGCTTTTAATCTTTACTCTCTCTGGCTTGTGACCCTCGGCAACACCTTCTCTGAATTCCTCGCATGGGTCACAATGTTGTATTCTTAGTTGCTTTAGCTTCTGAAAGGTATCAAGTGCTGCCTAAATTGAAAATATTTATATTTTATTTAAAATCAGCTTTTGTTTTTAGACTCTGTCTCTAGATCTGGGGTTATTGTGAGTTGTTCCTTCCTCAGTAAACTTTTACTAGGCTTCTCCTGCTGAAAAGAAACTTGCTCCAGGAAATGTGTGCTTAGGTCCTCAGCATTCTTGGCTGAGTACCCCAAAGGTTTTAATCAGGATCACCTAAATGTGTACCTCTGTGGGGAGGTGTATACTTTACCTCCCACTGACCAGCCTGATTTCATATTGAGAAGATATGAAGGACTCAGGATATGTTTGCCAGTGCACGAGGCCGAGGAAAGGATGGCCGAGTGGGATGTGCTTCTGTCCATGGGGGGCTTATAAAATGGGCCACTTTGTGCATTCAGGCCTGTTTTTCAGCCTCAGCCCCTGACAGGCACAGGGCACGGTAGCATTCGGTTGCCAGCATGTCGGGAAGACACCCACACTTTGCCGTGGGTGAGAAGATGAGGCCAGTGTGCACAGAGAGTGTGAAATTAAGTTCATAGAACTAAGAAGCAGCTGGTCTGACACTATGTGTGGTGCTTGGTTGTTTACAGTCAACGAGGCCAGGGCAGCAGCAGTGCCTTGCCCCAAGCTGCCTCCACAACCTAGACTTCTAAAGGGAACCACTTGGTAGGGACTTCAGTCCCCTGTGTTCTAAACACTAATTGTGACCCCGTCCCTCCCCTGCATGCCTCCCTGAGTGTCAGAAATAGCCTCAGGGGTGGCTCATCTCAAGGTCAGCCTTCAGATTTGGGAACAAACTGCAGAGAAAGCAGAGAAAGGTGCATTGCCTTCGTTTTGGCTGCCTCTTCTCCCCTCTTGGTGTGAGAACTATTTCAGGAGGGCATTCATTAGCTCTCCATCCCCTGAGCTCTGTGTGTGTGTGTGTGTGTGTGTATGTGTGTTCATGCACATGGAATAGGGGCGTGCTGTCCTCCACTCCTGTCCCCAAGCTCTTACTTCCTTAGAGATGCAGTTCACCCTGCAAGTTAGAGAGTAGCACAAATTCATCAGGGGTCTTGTTCTTTTGTGTTTCACCAAAGCTCATAACCTCCCACACACACACATCCTAGCCCTAGCTTTTTCTTTCTCTTCTTTTCCAAAACTACGTTCTCATTGCAGTGACTCCCAACCTACTCATAATTTATTAAGTTAGAGAGATGTGATCAGTTGTGATTTGGTCTCCCTTAGGAGCATGATACTTTTCACCCACCCTTTCTGTGGTCACCAGCAGGTGCTTATATGACCGAGGCTCTAACTGGAGGTGGCAGTGGCCCTTCCCTGTGAAGCCTCTGGCCTAGAAGTTACCAAAGTGGGTTCAAGGATTGTCCTCTTCTCTGTGCAAGCCCCAGGCTCCAGCTGTCTTTCCACCGCAGTCCTGAGAGTTGTTCGCAGTGAGAAGGCGTGGGCCAGTAGAAGGATCAGATGTGTGTCCTGCCCACAGCTTCTGTGACTTGGGGAGCTGCTAGAGGCCGTCCTGTCCAGGTGGGTTGTAAGACTGGATCTGAGGACTGGGCAGTACAAAACTGTGCATTTTGCAAAATGCAAATTATTGCTTCAGGGTCCCTGGCCTGGAAAATGTGGTGTGTAGGAGAGATGGCACTAGCTTTGGGGCTTCTGGAAGCTAATTTGGCGTGGCCCTCTCCCTGTTTGTTCTTTTTCTTGTGCTCCTGCTGCTTCAGAAGACCTAGGCAGGGTGCATCCTGTTGGTGGGCCTTTCCGGTTGTGCACTTAGGTGTAAAGTCAAGGGCCAGCCAGAAGATGGAAGTAAGAGGAAGCCCTTTCTCTTCTCCTGGAAGTAGCCCTCTGCGCCAGCTCAGGGAAGCTTACTCTTCTGCCCACGAGGCTTCTTCAGTCAGGGAGCCTGCCCTGGTATCTTCCCAGGGCTCTTTAGGAACCAGCTGCCTGGGTTCTCCCCGTGCCCCCGCCCTGGTGCCTGGTAAGAAGGCCCAGCACGACCAGAAGTCTGGTCAAGGAGCAACAGAGCGAGGCTCTCTGCAGTGCGAGGCTGCATCTGCAGGGCCACAGGCAAAATGTGCAGCTTTCTGGCCCACTACTGTCAGGCGCTGTGTCCCTCCCCCGGGCTCCCCAGTGCAACCTCAGACTTCCATGAGCTCTGAGGTAGCTTTTCCGAGCCCCTTGTTCCCTCCTGTAAATGCTGCTGTCGGGAGGTGTCCACCTCTCTTCTGGCAACGTACCTCCTCTTACATGCAGGTATTTGCTGGGGAGAGTATGATCTGGCGTCTTCTGTTTAATTTTCCTAGAAGTTGTCACCATTCACAAGTGTCATTATTTATGCTAGGAGCCCTTCAGCTGTACAAACCTTGGTCAGATATATGTGAATGTGTGGCGGCTCTTAGCTCAGAACCCGCAGCTCAGCCTTCCATCTCTGCCACTCACCTCTCCAGCCAAATTCATTGGCTGGTGCTCACTACTTACTCCACCCCCATGAAAGGTACAATTTGCCATTTTTTCAGTTGTCTTAAAGCGATGATCCCAGGAAGGAACCTTAGGAAATCTGTCCCTCTTCCCTGTTCTCCTAGCTTACTTTTTTCTTCTCAAATGTCTCCCTTCCTAAATTATAGAATATCATCTCTGTTTAACACTACATATTCACCTCATGTTTTTTGGAAGTGCAAAATCTCACTTTGTGTCTGTTTACAGCTCTCTCTATTCACTCATTACTCACAGACTCGTTTAAAAGCGGAGGCCCCGAGGCACAACTCCGTATCAGTGGGTTTTATTTCATAGCTGATCGATGTTAAGGCGGGCCCCAGCATCAGCCCTGATCGGAACTCGAAGCTACTTCCTGACAGCAGAGACACAAAGTGTCAGTGGCATGACGTGATTAGGGAGTCGGCTCCAAGTCTGCCTTAGAATTAAATTTTCCAAAGTACATTACAAATCTCCAAGACCATTAGGGGAAAAGGAGAGGGTGTGGTTTGTCTTTGAAAATCATGGTCAACACTTTTAGACAATTTAATTAGTCCTGCTGTTTGCAATGCTCTTTGCTCTGACAGCATCAGCTTGTGATATTTCTTCCCTGTTCTTTGTACCACTGGGCCATTCTCAGGCCAGGGGATGTAAGTGGTGCTGATATGTGGTTACCAGAGTGGGGAGTGGGGGATGAGGGTGGAGGGTGCCTGTTTTAAGCTGTGTTCTTTTGTTTAAATCAAGGTGATGCTGGGGAAGCTGTTTTGTTTTAGTGAACAATAAAATCATGTAACTCTCTTGTAAACCATGTCAATGAGTGTGTGAATAAGATGAATATGAGAAACTACCATCCCCAGGTCTTGGTAGCCAGACAGGACCACATATATCATCCTGCGTGTGTGCCTACGTGGGTGTCTATTTCTCACATGGTATGTGTAGAGATGTAGACCATGCAGGAGCTCCCAGAAGAATTTGTTTTGGGTTCTGCAAATGGATCATGTGTTAAACTTTTCTTTTATCAATAAATGAGTTTTATTTTTTATTTTTGAGAGGTTTCGGTCTGCATCTTTGTTTTCACCTTTTTTTCTTTTTAAATATCACTCAGATCTCTTTACTAGCTCTTACTAGGTCAAAATGTTTGTAGTTTATGTCACAGAGCTCATCCGGGGGAGTAGTGCAAACAGTACAACCACCTATGGAATTGAGAGTTCCCAAGAAAGGGAAGTTGTTTTTTTGTTAGACAATCCTGCTTTTCTTGAAAACTTGAGTAGGAACTCTCAGCCCCGTCTGTGTATTTCAGATGACCGTAGTTGACAGGGATGATGGTTAGTTTCACATGTTAACATGGCTGGGCTATAATGTTGAATAACCCAGTTATTCAATCAAACACTAATCTAAGTGTCGCTCTGAAGTTATTTTGTAGATGTGGTTGATGTCTACAATCAGTTGCCTTTAAGTAAAAGTTTATCCTCAAAATGTGGGTGGGCCTCATTCCAATCAGTTGAAGGGCCTTAAGAGGAAAACTGAGGTCTAAATGGGGAAGAAGAAATTCTGCCTCAAGACAGCAGCATCACCTCCTGTACAAGAGTTGCCAGCCTGGTAGCCTGCCCTATAAATCTTGGACTTGCCAGCCCTGACCATCACATAAGCCAATTCCTTGAAATCCCACCCCCTCCATGTATGTATATATTTGCAGTGGGGAGATTGATTTCAGAACAGTGGAAGAGGTGACTCCTGTCCCCTGTTGTCACATTAAAAGGGAAAACAAGACCATCTGAGCTGCTTCTTAGGTGATCTGAAAACCAATCTTGGGGGGCTACTGAATTAGACTCGTTTAAAAGCAGAGGCCTCAAGGCACACTACTGAAGTATAGCACTTTACGGAGAGAGGAAGGCAGGGAATGTATTATGACTCCTTTTGATTACCAGTATTATTTCTGGAACTCGGGGTCACAGGGATTCAGTGACCGTTCCAAGTCATCAACCCTTAAGTGGCAGCATTAGGATATACACCGCAGCAAGCCCTGTGATTCCAGAACCCAAGTGCTTCCCAAAGGCACTGACTGCCTCCCCCTCTTTGTTACAGCCTCAGGAGGGAGGTCCACCTTTAGGGATTATTGTGAGGGTTAGAGAGAATGTTCTGAATTTCTTGGCATGAGAGCTTATGAAGCATTTTCTGAAACATTAGCCGAATTGAAGAAAACCAAGACTCAGAAGCAGTTTTACTTGTTTTGTGGTTTTGCGTCCATTCATTATAGTCATATCTCACTCACTTCCTTTGTGGAGAGCATTCAAAGCTTTTTAGATTGTTCACCTTTTCACATGTTTGTTCCTGCTTATGTTTACACTTAATGGCTATAACCCCTCCTTCCAGGTAACAAGGGCCCTCAAGGTAAGCCACTGCACTGCTGGAGGCATAAATTGAGTGACAGTGGACTGAATTTGGACCCTAAACTTGGGGCTCTTTGCTAAGTAGGCTTGCTTCCTCAGATTCCGCCTGTTGCAGACGTATGCAAGAAACTGTGTGTATCTTTAACTGGTACACTTCACTAGACCCTTGGTCATTGGTCTCCCTCCCCTCACTCATTTTGGGGGAAAAAAATTGGAGTATAATCTACATGTAGTAAAATGCAGCTGTTTCTTAAGTGTACAGTTTGATGAGTTTTGACAAATGCATTTGACTACTATTTCAATCAAGATATGGAATGTTTGTTTTACCCTAAAAAGTTCCCTTGTGCCCCTTTGTAGTCAGTTCCATCCCCATGCTCACTTGACCCTTGGCAACAACGGATATGATTTTTCTGTCTCTCGTTTTGCCTTTTCTAGAATGTCATATAAATGCAACCATCAAGTATGGAGTCCTTTGTGTCTGGCTTCTTTGACTTAGGATAATGCTTTCTATATTATCTGTATCGTGCCTTGTATCATTAGGTTTATTTCTTTTTATTGCCAAATAATATTCCATTGTATGGATGAGCCATAATTTGTTTATTCATTCACCGATTGTTGGACATTTGGGTTGCTTCCAGTTTTCGGCTATGATGAATAAAGCTGCTATAAATATTCATGTACAGACCTTTGTGGAGACATATGTTTTCATTTCTCTTGGGTAAATACCTAGGAGTGGAATTGTGGGTTTGTATGGTAAGTGTATAATAACTTTATAAGAAATTGAAAAATTGTTATTCCGGAGTGACTCTGCTATTTTGGATTCCTACCAACAGTTCTTAAAAGCTCCAGTTGCTCCATATGTTCACCAGTACTTCATATAATGGTCTTTTAAATTTTAGCCAGCTTAATGGGTATATAGTAGTACTTTCTTTTTTTTTTTTTAAGATTTTTTATTTATTTATTTGACAGAGAGAGAGATAGCTAGAGCAGGAACACAAGCAGGGGGAGCGGGAGAGGGAGAGCAGGCTTCCCGCCGAGCAGGGAGCCCAGTGTGGGGCTCGATCCCAGGACCCTGGGATCATGACCTGAGCTGAAGGCAGACGCTTAACGACTGAGCCACCCAGGCGCCCCTATAGTAGTACTTCTTTGTGGTTTTAATTTGCATTTGCCTAATGACTAGTTATGTCCTGCACCTTTTCCTGACTTATTTGCCATTGGTCTGTCTTCTTTAGTGATGTATTTTAAAATTTAGCTTTCTTAAAAATTGTAAAGCTTTTTGTTTTGAAGTAATTATGGACTCACACGTACAAAGAAATGTATAGGGAAGTCCAGCGCGCCCTTCTTCCAGTCTCCCCCAATGTTAAAATCTTGTATAACTATATTACATGACCAAAACCAGGAAACTGACATTGACACAATATATAGAGCTCATTCAGACTTCTCCAGTCACATATGCACTCACTTGCACATGTGTGTGTGTCTTTGCGTGTGTAGCTGTAAGCAATTTTATCGTATGTGTAGCTTCCACCACCCCAGTCAAGATGCTTATCTGGACCATCACCACAAGACTCCTTCATGCTGCCCCTTTATAGAGACACACTCACCTCCTCTGCTCCCCCTACATCCCCAAACCTGGGCAACCACTAATCTGTTCTTCATCTCTGTCATTATGTTACTTCACAAATGTCATATAAATTGAATTACACGGTATGTATCCTTTTGAGATTGGTTTCTTTCACTCAGTATAATTTCCTTGATGATCATTCAAGTTGTTGCCTATATTAATAGTTTGTCTTTTTTTTTTTTATTGTGAAGTCATATTCCATGGTATGGATGTACCACAGTTGTTTTAACCATTCACTCATGGAAAGAAATCTGCATCATTTCCAGGTCTGGCTATTATAGATAAAGCTGCTATGAATATTCACTCGGGTACAAGTTCCTGCATGAAAATGTTTTTATTTCTATGGGATATATATCCAAGAGGGCAATTGCTGAGTTGTATGTAAGCCCATTCTTAGTTTTAAAAGGAACTTCCGAGCCATTTTCCAGAGTGGCCATACCATTTTACATTTCTACCAGCAATGTGTGAGTTACTTAGTTTCTCCACATACTCGTCAGCATTTGGTATTGTCATTATTTTTTATTTTAGCCATTTACCAGATCTTGTAAATGTTTTGTTGGATATACCCCTAAGTATTTAGTTTTCTTTGGAGCAATTGTAAATGGTAATGTGTTTTTAATTTCTATTTCCATGTGTTCATTGGTAGTCTGTAGAAATGCAACTGATTTTTGCATGTTAATCTTGTGTCCTACAGCCTGTCTGTACTCAGTAGTTCTATGAGTTTTTGTCTAGATTTCTTGGGATGTTCTGTGTAGACAGTTATGTTGTTTGCATACAGAGATAGTTGTATTTCCTTTTTTTCCCATCCTGTATACTTTTTTTTTTCTTACCGCAATAGCTAGAACTTCTAGGACTATGTTAAAAAAAGGAGTTGGTGACAGTAAACATTCTAGTCTTGTCTCTGATCTTACAGAGAGAACATTCAGTCTTTCACCCTTAAGTATAATATAAGCTTTAAGATTTTTATGGAAGTTTCCCTCTATGTCTGTACTGAGAGATTTAAAAAAAAATCATGAATAGGTGAATTTGGTCAAATTTTTTTTCTTCATCAATTGACATGATCTTACAATTTTTCTTTTTTCACTTATTGATATGGTAGATTAAATTGATTGATTTTTCAATATTGAACCAGCCTTGCTTACCTGGATTAAATCCTACTTAGTCATGGTATGTTATTCTTTTTATATATTGTTTTGTTCTCACCCAGACTCCAGAATGATGCCTTTTTGTAAATGAGCAAAACCATATGCCATAACTGCTATTCTTGGCATAAGTGTACTTTTGCCTCAGGCCAGGTTCCCAGCTGCTAAAGTGCTGCATAAAGCCTGCACGTGTTTCCTTAGGACAGTTTCTCAACTTTGGTATTATGTACATTTGGGGGTAAATAATTCTTTGTTGTGGAGAATGTCCTGTGCATTGTAGGATGTTTAGCAACATCCCTGGTCTCTAGCCACTAAATGCCAGTTGTGGAATCCAAAGTGTCTCCAGACATTGCCAAAGGTACCCTTGTGTGGGGGGTTGGGAGTGGAAATCATCCCCCTCTCCTATTGAGAACTACTGCCTTAATACATTTAAGCTCCTTCTTACCCCTAGCTGGAGGGATTTTTTTTTTTTTTTATCTTGGCCATGGAACAAAGGTAAGTGTGTGGTTATGGATGCTGCAAAAAGATCTGCCTTTTTAATAGTAGTGATAAAATATATAACATCTTTTGAGCCTTTACTATGCCAACTACGCTAAGCACATTACCTGTATTCTCTTCTAATACTCATGTCCAGTGAGGGAAGGCGCTGGTAATATCCCCACTTCGCAGACTGAGGCATAAAAGGTTAAATAACTTAACCGAGAACACACATTTTCTGAGTGGTGGAGCCAGGTCTGTCTGACTGCAAACCTCGTACTGCCCCTGAGATCTGCCTCTCTGCCACTAACTCTGTTACTCACAACCCTCAGTGGACAGGGGACATTTCCAGGCCCCAGTCTGGATGCCTAAGTCCTCCCACACTCCAACCCCAACATATGAGGACTACCCACTATTGCCCAAATACTTAAAACCTCTAGGCCTTTGCTGTGGGCTTTTCCCTTAGCCTGGCTGGCCCTTCTCTGTGCAAAATCTGAAGCTCAATTTTAAGATCCAGCTCAGATGGCTGCTCCTCTTTAGAATCGTCCCTGGCTACGTCAGTCATAATTTATGACTCCCTCCTCAGCAGAGCAGTAACATCCCTTCTCTGGCTAGCCTCCTCTCTACTTATGCTAGAAAGCTGTGACTACTTGGTCACTCCCTAGATCATGGGCTGCTGGAGGCATTGATCGGATCGGGCTTGATCTTCCAGTCCTTGTCTGTGCGGGCTAATCTTGTATCTGGAATTAGCTGGTTACTAAATTCAGTGTGGTTTCCTTTAGTAGGGAATGGAGCCTGGCCTCTAAGGAGTTGACATCGTTATATATACTTTTAGTTTTGTATCAGTCTAACCAAGCACTTTCCTTGGTTGGACCCTGTAGATTTGTTGAGGAATCTTAAGAAAATTCTAAAGGCTTGTCTTTTCCCAGCTGGGTCCTTGAGAAAGTTCCTGCTCTTTACTTGGTGAGACCTCTTGTGCCTCTCCTCAAGACAGAGCTAGCAGAGGCTGCCTGAGGTCTTCTAAAGTCTGTCCTTAGACACTGAAATGTGGGTTGTTGTCCAGCACCTGGGCCCAGATGCCCTCATAGGCTGGCATTCACCAGTTCACCATGGGCTATCAGGAAGGGCCACCTGTTCTATACCAAACCAGCCGTGGGCCTTGGGCAAATCACTCCATATCTCAAAACTTTATATACTGTATTTTTCTCTTTCTGTCTTTTAGAATCTCCATAATCTTCGGTCCAAAAGAGAATGGTTTTCCTCCCCAAGGGCTAGGGCTCTGCCCTTCTTCACCCAGCTACTCATTTTGAGGTTCTAGCCCTGGCCTCAGTCCTCCCCGCCAAGACCTCAATGTGTCCCCTCCAGAGCACTGCTCCAATTTCTAGAAGATACATTGGCTTTCTCTGTTAGGCCTTGATAAACCCCATGTGCTGGTATAGTTGTGCAGGCCTCCACCACAGCCCTCTGAATGAGCGGGCTCACAACTCCTTTGCTGTTGTCCAGTGGATTCCATCTGCCCTCCCACCCTGGACATGGTTGTGAGTCCTCACTTCCACCTGTCCTGCTTGCTGTCTAGCAATGCTCAAGGTTGCTGCGGCACTCTTAACATCCAGTCTCAGAACTGGATCACACAAGTGGCTTGGGGTTGAGCTGACCCCACCTCCCAGGATCCAGACACTTTGTCTGTTAATACCACTTAGAATTACGGTGATACTCTTGGCCTATGAGCTCATTAGACTAAGCCCTCTCAGTCCTCCTTGCTGCTGTTCCTCCATCCCCTGATGTCCTATGTCATGGACCCAAATGTAAGGCAAATATCGGGAGTCAGACGCCCCAGATTAAATCCTGGCCCTGTCACCCATGAACCGGGTGACCTCACTTTAAGTCACTAACATAAGTTACAAACCACCTAATTTATGTGTGTCTCTGTCCCTCTGCCTGTGAATGGAGACAACAGTACTTACCTCATGGGGTTTCTG